GCTTCTGTCTCTAAGGCTAACTTACTAGTGAGTATGTCTGTCGGAATTGGGCTCCACTTCTTCTGCATGTAGTCATTAAAGGTTGCCCAGTTCGTCTTTCTTGCATTTCTCACCATGACTTTGTCAACCTTGCTTTCCAGGTCGAAGGTAATGCGTCTATGGTCTGAGAATGCGTCACTTTCGTCAACCCTCCAGTTCTGAATGTGTCGGATAAGTTTGTCTGTGGCGACTGTTATATCCAAAACTTCTGCTCTGGTTCGAGTAACAAACGTTGGTGTTGTACCTTCGTTTATTACTCCAAGGCCTGCGCTACCTAGAAAATCTAGTAATAAGTCACCCTTTTTATTGCAGTCAGTGCTGCCCCATGCTACGTGGTGGGCATTGGCATCACATCCTATAATAATCGGAATGTTCTTACCTTGATATTTCCTTGTTACTTCCTCAAGCTCCCTTGTTGGCGGCTCGAAGTCTATTTCACTCGGAAGATAGGCACAGACTATGAGTATTCTCTCCTTATCTCCGTTGCAGGCTTGAATGGTCAGTTCTACACTCGCTAAGTCTCTGTAACAGTCAGACTTTATGAGTTCTAGCGATCTCACCCTGTTGCTCACGTAGATGCACGCTCTGGGATTAGACTCACCATCATAGTAGATTAGATCACCTCCCAGAGCGCCCATCCCGACCACTCGCCTGTTTATGACGTATGGCTCTTGCAACAGGGCGATATCTATATTTTCTTTCCCAATGAATCGACATAATTCCGTCATGGCTTCACGACAGTGATGCAGATTTAGTTGGACTATTTTTATTTTGTTTTGTTTTTGTTGTGTGTTCATTGTATTGATTGTGTTTATGTTAAGTGTACGATGAATGAGTGTTTAGAGTGTAGTGTGTACTTGCTTAGTATGTGTATGTGTATGTTTCCTCACTTCCCCTTGCCGCTATTCAGCCAAGACGGACTTAACTTTTCCGCCGTCTGGGAACCGCTACTGGGTTTGTGAGGAGGGTGTGTGTCGTGATGTGGTGTGTTGGTTGTTGGTGTTTTGGTGGTTGTGGTGCAGGGTACCCATCTGTCGGCCGACCCGTCTTTCGACGTGCCTTGCTGGTTGATGTCCATCCTGCTCTCATTCTCCTCAGTGCGGCACTGATCCCGACCACCCTCTACAGCGGTCGTCCCCTCCACCGCGCTTCCGGCAGATGCACTAGTCGAGGCCACGACCCCCTCCGTTAGGCGGTCGGTCTCATTGCCAGACTTGTGTACTGGGCACGTCTTGCACGTACATACTTCCTGCTTCCCCGCTTCTGTCTGGGCTCCTCCTTTCTTCACCGCCCTAGCCAGGACCTGCGTGGCTTGGTAGTTCAGCCACACGTTTCCTGTAACCAACTCTTGAGGGACACCCACTACAAGTCGAACTCCTAGCGGCAGAGTCTCCTTGTAGATGAGTGTCCACTCCGCTATACCTAAATCTGTCCTATAATTATTCTGGCCCCTTATCAGCGTGAGAGGGTCACATCTTAGACCCTCTAAGCTTCCCGGGAGCCAGATGCTCACCCTGCGTCTGTCTAGTCTTAAGACCCCCAATGGAATGCCCTCCCGGTCGCCAAAGTCGCAGCCCAACAGCCATGTCATTGCCTCCTCGGTGTTGGGGGTCACTAAGAAGAAACCTTCCGTAACCAACCCCGAGGCCGCAAAGGACAGGCACCGACCGTCAACTCCGTCCAGGACAGCCTTCTCAATGAGAGCCGTAAGCCTTTGTCTTACTAACGCAGCAACCTCCTCAGTCATAGCTTCTCCGTTCCCGAGCCTCACCGCCACAGATAGTTCACTTTGACCCGTACCGGGTCTCCGTGTTCCCTCCTGGCGCCCAGCCGGGGACTGAAGACAGTTTTGTCTTTTAAAAGGGCGTTGCTGCGTTTGCTCGTCCGGATCAGTTCCTTGCCTTTTAAGCTTCTGCGCTCTCGAGACGCCTCCGAGATCCCTCATCCCAGCCACAGGAGCAGCTGGTTCCGGGACTCCATCGGTGCATTTCGAGAGCCTAGATGCTGCTCTCTTTTCCTTTGCCTTCCTACGCCTACGCTTTGTTCTGGAGATCCACTCCCCGTCTCCAGATTCTCTCACTGGTCTCAGGTCTGTGGTCTCCTCGTTGATTTTTAATTTATCTATACTGTCCCGAAGGGTCTCAGATGTGGACCTTCCAGGACGTGCTCCCTTCTCCTCACCCTTAGCAATGTTGCTCCCCACATAGTACGCGGAGCAGGTGGTGTTACCAGTGGTGAGACTCTCACGTCTCTCCGCTGGTGACACCACGGAGGATTCCCCAGCTGAGCTGGGACCTCCCTGTGGACCATATTGCATTGCACTTTGCTTCATTATTATTTTACCGGGGCTGCCGGTGAGAGTTGGGGGTTGGGGGATTGATGGAATGTTGATGTTCTGCATCCTCGGCTCGTCCCCGCATCTGCTGCTAGAACGGCCTCGGTCGCAGCGTCACTCTTGGATGGGGCAGGATGGGTTGGGGGGGATGGAGTTTCCGGCTTGAATATTCTGTTGCGTCTGTTTCTTATGGAATCAGACCAATAACAGGCGGCACCACGTGAAGGATATATCCAAGCCTTGCCTTGTAGATCATCACGACCTGCGCTACCTACGAGGCCATTCACCAGACTCAACACCGGGCAGGTGTGAGAATAGAGATTTGCCCACCTCCCTAGTTATAAGCTAGGTCATGGAGATGGCCAAACCTCCGCCCTTACGTAAGTACCTTACGTAAAGTAAGGTTTATATTGTGTCATACAATTAAATTGGACCTGATTATTTTTATATCGTTGTTGTACTTGTCCCTAGAAAGATTCTTTATCCAAAATTTGTTATAAATTTATTAGTTTAAGGCAAAACACACATCATTTTGACACATTGAATAAAACTCTTTTTGGGGTTCAAATGGCGAACTATAATAATTTATTAGTAACTACGATCCACCAGTTAACCTCGGAGGGAGGTGAGGCTGCTGGTCTATAAATAAACTTCTTTGTACTTCAGAAAAGTAAAGTAATATTTATAACAATAATCGAACGGTAATAAAACGTCCGTGTATAGTTAACCTAAGAGCGACCTTCACATACGCTTGGCATTCGGAAGAGCAGCAGTTGTTCAGTCATGCTCACCCCATCGTGACGGTTGAGTACTATTGGGGGAACGGAGTAACGGCCTTTATTCCCGAAAATTCTATGCAGATAAAGTTCATCTCTCCAACGACGTACAGTGTTGTTTGTTTTAAAATTAAAAAGGATTTCTATGGCTTATGTTAAAACGTGAGTTACTATGATATGCGTTTAAGCATGGATGTAAGCTAAGTTTTTATTAATGTATAGTTATTAATTAGTCGATATCAATGTTACATCGATATTATAGTTTATTTCGCAATACATTATTCAACAATAATACAGCTTATCACCCACACTAAATTAAAGAATAAAAAAGTTTTTGCGGGAGTAGAATACCATATGTAATCTTTATTTAAATTTCAAGGCCCCACAGAACTTAAAGAGTAAATTAAGTTCTGTGGGGCCTTGAAATTTAAAAAGAATACAAAATTAATATAGATCGAACTATATTTCTATAGCTAAAAATATCGTTTTGAATATTAAATTAACAATTGAGAAATAGTAACATAGGTGTTTCTAGTCACGCTTTATCCAACATCTCATTCTTGGCTCGATCCTTAATCAGAATAAGCCTTCTTTTTGCATAGTCGCATAATGTTATAGGATGGCACAGTTGAAGCAACATCGGGTATTACAATGCACGCCCAGTTTGAAGTTTACGCATAGTTGTTACGAGGTGTTAAATAAAACATGAACCGCTGTATGGTGAAATCAGCTGCTACAAGACTAGGTTACCGCGCTCGTACAAACCGGTCCCATTTCCGACTTACTGAGAACGCCCCGGTGCATTCCTGATAGTTTCATTGATGTTTATGGAGCGATCCAGAAATTGCGAATTCCACTGCATACTTTGAACGTCCAATTGCATCTAGTTACATTTCCCTTGGTGGTACCTAAATTGTTTTTATTGTAATGTTATTATGAGATCTTTCTATCTCTATTTGTACATTTTAGACTAGACCACAATAACAAGCAATGTTTAATTTTACATGGCAATTTAGTGCACACTTGAGGGATGATCCAAATAATATAAATAGCCTTAATACAGTTAATTACCGCCTCTATCTAAATGGTTAAACGCGTTGCCTAGCATTGCGTTGAGCGCGAGAGGTCTTGGGTTCGAATTCCTTACAAACAATAGATTGTTTCAGTTATGCAGATTATTGCAATATTACGCCGTTACTAAGATTTTAAATACATGTAAAAATAGTTCTTTGTTTCTAAGTTGTATCTCTACTTACATAATAACAAATGAAGGTATATCGATACTGTAAATCCTAATTCTGTGTAGTTAAGTGGTTAAACGTAGCATTGCGTTAAAAATGAGTGGTCTTCGATTTTTGTTTTTTGAATCCCGTAAAAAATAGATCTGACAATCAGGACAGAGAAATGTTATCAACCTTGCCTAAATAGACCATCTAACGGACAAGAAATTCACCCCACCCCCCCCCGGGGAAAACAAGATATAACTAGTACAGAAATAGAATCGAATTGCTAAAACTTAGAAAAAAAGTCAAATTGAAATCCAAAATTTCAATCGTTGTAGGCACCTCAAATTAATTCTTGTTATTCGATACTGACTTTCTCTACGTCTCACATGTCTCGACGCCCACTCAAGTTATATTATCAGTTGACACGACATTCCCATTGTTTCAGATTTTCCATCAATCTCACCGTTGGAGAACATAGAAAACGTCTGTTATGAGAAACAATGGCTGTTTCATTCGGTCTCACGCTCGATTATTAGAAAACGCATCGATTGATCGCAAAGAAATGTGACATAACGCCATCTAACGGCAGAAGCGTGCACCACGGAAATAGATTTTGAGTTCAAGATGAAGCTGAACTTGTTCAAGAGGTCGATGATATTCGCGACCTTCTTCGGGTCGTGCTTGTGCATTGCTCTGATTGTGGCGTCCCTCGGTACGCAGCACTGGGTAGATGCCAGAGCGAGGCGTTTACAGAACCCAGCGGAATCGGAGGGTAGAATTAGTTTTGGACTTTTCGAAGGGCACAAAGAGTTGAATTTCGGATATGGCTGGCGAAATCACGACTTAAGCAGTAAGTTAAATTTATTTAGTTTAACTGGCTATGCCAGCGACTTCTTTCGCGAATAACAGTTATTTTGGGCAGAATTGGCCATCAAAATTTGAGCATTCTGAAACATCCTTATAAATATATTATAAAAATATTTATATTACCTAAACACCACTGTCCGATTCCTCAATAAATGCCCTATCTATAAAACTTTTTACGCCTCGGAAACCATGCCTCCCTGGGTACGCGCTCAGTGTAAAGCTGACACCTCTATCACTGACTGCTCAAGCGGCAGCCCATCACCAGCGGCACCAACTTGAAGCCGGCCATCCCACCCACTGTGACCTTTAACCCAATAGTTTTTCTATTTTCCCCTCTCACCCCATCTCACCAACATTTTTTTTTGTGCCTTGTAAGGCACCACAGCCCATGTGTAGGGTGCTAAAATAAAAACGGGCTGACAGTGAAAACTATCTATGAGTCTATCGAACAGTTATTACAGTTGTTTCCTTTGATTTCCAGTAAAGGCAGGTACGCATCCTGCCCGTCGTTGGGCGTGGTGTGGAACTGCAGCCCAGCTGGCAGTTTCGTTAGCCGCCAGCGCCGCTGCTTGCGTTCTCGCTGCTTTAGCCTCTGCTGCACGAGTCAGATGTCAGCCTCGTCCGCTTCTGCTTTGTAATTGCGCTACAGGTGGGTCTAATATAATTCTTATTAATTATAAAAAGAGGCGTTTATTTATCGTATGGTTTAACCGGACTATATATGTAAGTACATGCAGTGATTCAGATAATAAACTATTTTTTATTTTAAAATTTTTTAAATAAAAACTACTAAAAAAATCCATTCCAAGATCCACTAACTTCATTAATGAAACACTGTATAGTACAGATTTTAATAAAAAAAACGACAATATATTATTTTCCAATATTATAAATAACCGTGCTACTGAAATAAACATGAACTTTGTTTACAATAGTATAAAGACAGAATTTGTTGTTTTGTTGATAAGATTTTTGTTGATCAAACCATTTAAATTGATGTAAGTAATTTGAACCTTCTCTAATGACCGTAAACGACGTAACAAAGATACCATTTAAATGAATTATGTAAAAGAAAAGTAACAGCTAAGTGTTTAATGTCGACCTTCCCACGGACTATGACGAATATTGTTATAACTTTCATTTCGCTCCTATTAATACAACAATTAACTCATGTTTTGTATGGTGGCTACTAAACCTACAAAGCACTGAAAATTACACTCCTACGCTGTTTCACTAATCACTTCTACATACGGCTACTAAAAACCAAGTTGATCAGACTACTGTGTCCTGCTCGATCGAAACGATATTTCATGTTTCCCCATTCAATACTTGCACTACTTTATTTTGTTTCGTTCGCGAAGGACACTAACGCTACCTTTATACTAAATGTGCTGTTTGTCTGTCAAAACGTTATATCTCAAGGACCATCGTAACTACAGACGTTTATTTTATATATTTTATTTTCTCTTGCGGTTTTATCAACGAATAACTAATGAAAAAATATTTAAGGGCTCACGTACAGCAAACGACTTTTTTTTAACTTTTTTCTCCCCATCGTAAAGAAAACACTTTTTATTTGTCATCTTAAATTGCACATTATTTAAATAGCCTTAACGTGAACTTAGGAACAAAAATTAGTTTGCTAGCTTAACTTAATTAGCTTGCTAACTTAAACTAGACATCAGGTTTTTCTTTACATACTCTTTAAAATCTTTACAGTTTTGGTTCAGGTATAATTGATATATAATTAAGATATCCGTTACGCATAAAACATCACGTTGGTGTGAACAACGCCTTAGTGCTATATGCTAACTGAGATTCTAAGATTAACCCAAAGGAACAAGGAGGAAATGGGTGAAATAGACAACTGTGTGGAGTGATCCGGCCTTCTATCGGTGTCCCCAATAAATTTCTAAGTTAGATTATATTATGCAGCCAAGAAGGTTCCTCGGTGTAGTTAAGTGCGCGAAGCACCTCAAGAACTCGCGTATCGTTCCTCGGTATTGTGATGTAACGTCGCGTGTACACTATCTTCTTCTCACATATCATGGAGAAGAGAGGGAATGGTGAGCCAGAGTAAGTCACTGCAACACAAAATACATTTCAACACAGAAATGAGATAAGAGATAACCTTTTAAATAAAAGACCGTTATTTGTTTTACGCTCTTACGGCTTGACATGCTGAAGTATTTTTTTAATGAATAAAGCACCGTGTGTAGTTACATACAACAACCCACATTTAAATTAACGGTTTTAAACGCGAAGTACATTTGTTACCGTTAAACCGTTAAAAATGTTTTATATAAATGTCAACATACCATCTGTTGGTCCATAGATGTCGCTACAGTGATTCCTTAACGCTCCGCATACGGATTCGAACATCTGATCCTTGAGACCGCATACTAAATCTGGCCTGGACAAATTCACAAAAAAAAGATTAGCTTACCAATATACTAAGGTAGCGCAAAAGTGGTCTCACCAAAATGTCTTTGCGTAACAATATGTGAAAGGCAGTAGAAGCAAACAGAGTTATCTACAGAGTATCTGGATTCATATCAATTATAGTGGTGATAATAAGTGCTGGTAAAAAGCTTCAGTGTATTATAAAAAAAATATTACAACGGAAAACAGTAAATCTTAAGACATATTTTGTGGCATCTCGGAATTTAGTGCCGTTAAATACATAGAAAGGGTACATATAGGTGGTTTTTCAGTCTATACTCTCTGGTCGTCATGTCTGTCTTCGAGTTAGGCTACTTTGCACTGAGAGCAATTAAATTCTCGAATAGTAGTATGTAATCGACTTCTATTCATTTAATCTAATCAATCTTTTGTTAACTGTCGAATTGATCATACATAGATAAGGGCCATTTGTACCAAGTGGTATTTACCATCTAGCTTGTATGTTTTAAATCGCTTGGTGCTCGTTGGCCCTAAGACATTACTTGACAATTTCCCAGCAGTTGATCAAGTCCCGTGCACATTCACTATTGTTATACGTCCCGCGATGCACTTGATCGAATGTCATCTTCTTGTAGGTCAGCGACGGATACTCTATCAACTGGGCGGCTGTGCGTTGGCTGACTAAAGCATAATAATACTTTAATTTCTTCTATCATAATTTCTAGTTTGTCATGGCTTCGGAAAGCACGTGAAATAATGGGTCTTAGTTATTATTAGTATCATTCAGTTAGGTAAGTTCGAACCATCCGTTCATCGGAAGACGTGAAAATATAAGAAGAATTTTAGTAGATTGATTTTGAAAGCGAATAATTTTTATATTAGATAAAATGAATAAAAACATGTATTCGGTTTATGGGTGGGTAATTTGCCAAGAGATAGTTACGGAAAGGAAGAGAAAGAAAAGAAAAAGAAAAATTAATTCTTAATACAAATATACCTTGTGATACGGTGGATAATCATCTAAGCTCTTAAATATTGCCAAGTATACTAAAATGTTATACATACTATATAAAACACATATCCCCAATAGAATATATTGTAGGAGGAAAGTCTTCATGTTGTCGTCTATTCGGCCTGACAGGAAATAGGAATAATGTTTATAACGCGGTGCTAATGTAGTTATAACTTTGCTTTAATTAACTTTCCTAATTAGTTATCGCACTTAACATAGATTGGATTATAACGTGTAATGAGATACGCGTTAATTATGACGATGTAATAATATTAATGGCAATATTTTAAGTAAGTTTGTGTCTATAGTCATGCCATTATTTTAATTTTTTAAATAAAACACTTTAACGGTTTAAAACGCGATATATTAGTTAAACTTATTTGGAAATTATTTAATTTGATTGATGATTACTTTGACGTCAGAGACATCCTCCATCTTTAGTCTCCCCGTGACCACGGCTGCTGCAAAGCATCCGAAACGTCGGGCCGAAGTTAAAAATCATTTCCAAATAAGTTTAACTAATATATCGCGTCTTAAACCGTTAAAGTGTTTTGTTTAAATATTTCAATCTTTATTCTAAATACGCTCCATTTGATGGCGACTCGTGGACAAATCAATTCTCCAAGACGCGAATTCGAAAAGTAACGAACTTATTCTACTTGACACGACAATACGAAAATATGATACGCGGACGAAGCCAGTTTTAAATGTGCCGATCCCATTCTAATTGCGTTACAATTCAAAACAATACTTAAATAAACCGGATCCTATATACCCACGTAAAACCTGAACTTAAATTATACAAATCATTTAGGAAACAGTTGAGCTTCAGCTTATAGTTTTGATTCTGAAAGTGGGCTACCAATAAATTAATTACCTTATGTTGACTAAGAGTCAATATTATTTTTTAAGAAAATGAACATTGTTCTTACATGAGGTATTTTTAAACTTTTTCAGTACTCTTTTGCCTCGGAGCCATGTCAGTGTGGTTGGCGGAGTTTTTCTTGCGGTTACAGCACAACGTTATGTCGGAAGAAGACCTCGCGAATACATGGTCTTCCGATAATACCGCTGATTTGGGGCTTTCTTTCTGGTCAGTATAAACACTGTAAAATTAACATTTTATACCCATAACTATATTATTTACTATTTTATGAGTATGGTACTATTGTTTTGTGAAGAAGTGAATCTATCTCAGTCATCTGTGCACTTCCATCGTGACATGTTCGAATATCTAAATTTATGGAACTAGACTTTCCTTTATTGCTTGGATCCGGTTCGAGATCAAAATGAGATACTAATCTAAAAGTATTCAATTTACTTGTTACCTGAACAATTTTTTAATATGCACCCAAGTATAGACTATTGTGTTTTCTAAGACTTTTAATTACGATTATTATTAGCTTAAACTATAAATAATCAGTAACTCACGCAACGAAACTTTGTAGGAAATTAAGTAGCTAATATAATATAATAATTTACTTAAAAAAAAAAAATCTTCCAGGTTGGTGGTAGCTGCGTGTATATCCGCTTTCATTAACAATGTGTGCATTCTCATCGCTATGTCTGATGCGCCTGAGTTGGACGCAACCGCTCCGGCCTTGGAGGAAAAAGTTAACGGCGCCATCATGCTCTATTAAGGACCTTTTCTTTTACTAGGGATCAAGGAAAATATTGGGGTTTAAAGTAGAATCAATGATATATAACACGTTAGTTCAACTTACAACCTGTGCAAATAAATAAGAGGTGTCCTGTGACACATGTTGACTAATAAGAGATAGAATATCGGTTTATTTATGAGTGTGACAAAGATAGCATACACGCATAACATTGTGCCCATTGCCATTGCACGAAACGGACCTATGCGTGTCTGTACCGTCGGCATACAGCTATCTCTTTCACTCCTGCGCTTCGCCTATTTTCTGCCGCACTATAGCGTAGACATATGTTATGCGTAGTACAATTATGCAGTGCGTGCACTATATATGAAGTGTATCTTTTTTTTAATAGCGTTGTTTAGAATCTAATATCTTGTATAGTCACTATTCTTAATATTTCGCGCGTTAGTTATGTCACGTTAAGTGCCTTAAGCAAAATGCTTTTGTAAATGTTAGTACATATTAAGTGCAGCGTACCGTATATTGTTTTGCCAACAACTTGGCAGTTTAAGGCTGAATGTAAAACTAGATCTTAAAATCCGTCCTTATACAAGTTGGTTTATAGGTTAAGACTACTTTAGAATACTTAACTGCGATGTTTACAAATCTAACTTACCTCACTGACTTTAGCAGTATTATGATAAGTAAAACTAAGAATTTCACACAGGAAAGCTCAAAATTTACGCATGTTTATTGTATGTTTAGTGCCATTAGTTTAAGTTCTATGTAATTACGGACACAATTTAAAATTATTTATCTTTTCTCTTTTTTTTTAAATAAGAAATAAATGTAATTTTATTTTGTATTTTTTTATTTATTTAAACAGTACATAAAATTTATAAATAAACTTACAAGAAAAGAAACAGATTCATATTACGGAAGCCCAATGTGACAAAGAAAATTAATTTACTACATCAATTACGGTACAATAATTTCCCTTATAGAACCATTAACTATATTATACTATTCTAACTTATAAATATTTCTTATGATCACAGCCGTTATTCTGTTTAAGCATATTTACTGATGTTTTATTGGTCTGGCGCCGAAAATTGTAGAACCAACTCGCACAGTAGTAGCTCCTAGTTCAATCTGAAATAAAATATTTTATTGAATGTTGATAAGTTCTTATTTAACTTGAATAGAATTTTGGCCAATATTCTTTATTTTGAAGCGTCGTTAAGAAAAGAATACTCACAGCATGTTCAAAGTCAGCAGACATTCCCATAGATAATTCAACATGGTCAATATCCAGGTTCAAATTCTGACAGACCTCTTGTCTACATTTTGCAAGCAAAAGAAAATCGGGGTTTGGTCCAAGTGACACATCATAATCGTACTGTCCAATAGTCATCAGCCCCTTGCAATCAAGGTTAGGACAATTCTCCAACACATGTTTCACTAGTGTACTTGCTTCGGAAGGTTCTATTCCATTTTTAGCTGAAAAAAAATTGTTAGTTTCTTGTCCGTCTGCCTGTATGCCCTAAGTTCCTTTTACATTTATCTTGAAGATAAATTCACACCAAGCCCATACCTAATTCTATTTGGCAAGAGTCAAGATACAACTTCACAGTATTGTCAATTAAATTATGTCCTATCATTGTTAATTCTTCTTATATTCATTTAATTGCTTTGAAATTTATTTCTAATTGATTTTCAAAAAGTGAAAACATTTTTGAACTTTACTTTGACTTTTGATAAATAGTATATAAGGAAAATTATTAGTAATAAAAAATATATCTCACTATATATACTTTTAAGTTATCAATAAAAATTACCATCTTCAGCACTTGTGTTAACTTGTACCATAACTTTGAGCTTCACATCCCCTTGGCGGAACTTCTCCCACTGCTTGTTCAAGTTGTCAGCCAATTTTGCAGAGTCTACAGTCTCTACCATGTACAAATTAGGTGATTGGAGGAGTTTATTTATTTTGTTTGTTTGTAAGTGACCAATAAAGTGCCTGAAATCACAAAGACAATAAGTTTTGAAAAATTTACTTCTGAATACATTAAATACAAAGTGCCAATTTACCATTTAATATCCTTGCACATTTCCAATATCTGTGGGTCCTGTGCCTTCTCTGATAGTTCATTGACGTAATTTTCACCAAAATGTCTCTGTCCTGCCTCATAGGCTTGTATTATTAGCGAGGCCGGTTTTATCTTTGAAACAGCCACCATTGTTGGCATTATTTGTGGCAAATCCTGAATAGAAAAAACAAGATAACAAAAAAGCTAATCATATCAAGTAACAAATATAGATGCAAAACAATAGTTTACCTTACTTCTTTTAGAAACAGCTACATCTATGCGGCTTAAAACAGTTTTTAATCCATACATTATGTCCACTTGTTCAGTTTCTTCTGACATAATCTGTTCACTTTGCGACTACAATCCTAGGCAATATTTAAAAAATCGTTTTTATTACTTTAATACCAAAGAATCAGCTCAGCTCAGCGATCAATGTGAATATTTGTGAATACTAAATATTGTCAATTTATCAAGAATTATTATCAGTTTTGATGGGCATAGGTTTTTTGAGGCAATACATGTCAATAGTCAATACTCAACAGCAAACTTATATCCGTTATTTTTTTGATAAAAATTGTTACAATTAAAATAACTGTAACGTAGCGTATTTAAGTTGGTTTTATGTGATAATATATTATGTTCTTATAAATCTTATCATTTTTTGATTAATTGTTTGATTTATTATCATTTCCACCATTCACAAAAATATAACAATATGTCACTACAGATTAATTATTACTTGACATCTGACATTGACAGCGGTTTTATTGTGACTACAATATTATTTTACGAAAAAATAACATAATACGGGGAATTGTAATTAATTGAATTTGTTTTGACTTTAGATTTAGCCCATAATATATCGTCGCACTCCTACAAGAATGTTCATATAAGAAAATTAACAGCTGACTAAACAGCTATGAATTTATTGGAAAAAGCCGAGAAATCGCTTGACTTTCTGAAAAATTACGAAGGTGTTGCGAAGTAAGATTGTTTGTTATATTGTAAATAATGATCTCTGATTGCTTGTGATCTCTGATGTCTTGCTCGCTGATTCTTGCAGGGGTCATGAATTGCAAGCGGCTGCGGGCTCTTTGGGGCGCTGTTTGGGTGCATTGGGAACTCGATCTAACTGTTCACGACACTATGCAAATTTACTAAGCGCAGCGGTTCCGACACTATTTTCTCTGGCCAGTCATGAAAACGTAAGTATTTCCTAATTCATATTACAAAACGCGAATCAAATACATAAGACACTTAGGGATATTTAAAAAATAATGGAATACATACTTCTATTTAAATACATGATATATATATAGCTGTTTGCTGTTTGCTAGCTAATTGGTTAAATGTGTGCCTAGCTTTGCAATAAGCACAAGACATTGTAGGTTTTAATCTGTAGGAATCAATAAATAGATTTTGTCAGGTAGAGCACAGACTCTGACTACTTGCCTGTAAATATAAACACAGAAATGTGACTCATGATCCATGAGAGAAACGAGTTTACACTTATACATACATAATAAACTAAGTAAGAAAGTACCAACTGTGAAGATATGTTCTTTTTTTCCAGGCTGAAATAAGATTGGTTGGAGATGAGGCACTGAACAGAGTAATTGTTGGTGGTTTTGCTTTTAATTCTTATAAGACCAATGCTATTTTACTTAATCAGATTGATGTCTCCAAGAATGCAAGGTAATTAAAACATATACAAAAAAAAACTTAAATTGTGCATACCTAAGAACATTGATGTCATAAATTCAGTTTTGAATAATGTTATAAAGCAGTTACCAGTTTTTAATATGAAATGTAACTGCAATTTATATAAATATATAGCATATTATTCTGATACTATATCTCATTTTCCATAGATGGAATCGGGCAGCTATCAGTCGTATATGTCTAGGTGATTGTTGGCTACGTCCCGGAGTGGGTAAAATACGATCACATGCTCAGGCGCTATTTCCAAAGCTAAGCCAAATTTTGAGAAACACCACAGAGTTACAATTAATTGTTGAAGCCTTGGAGAGTAATTTGCCCAGACTTTTGAAAGCTTTGGCTGAATACACAACAGATGAAGAAATATATGGTATGGAATAGTGAGGAATTGTCTATATCATTCTTATTTGTCAACTTAATGACTAGACTTAAAACCAAAATGGACCATATTGTGTTTGTATTCAAATTCAGACGCTGTGAATGTCAAGTATAAATACAAAAATACTCTTTTATCATTGATTTGAAGAACAATCCTGCCTGTGTATCAAAAGATTTTTTTTAAATTTAAAATCTCATAATGTTATCTACACTATTGAAAATTATTTTTAATTTCGCCGAGTTTGGATACTTTGAAGCCGTGGTCACGAGGAGATCACATTAACTTATATATCGCGTTTTGAACCTTAAAGTGGGTTTGGGATACTCGCGTAAACTACAGATAATATTAAGATTTTTAAATCTTTATTAGAATTTTGCATTCACATGTCACACTTATAATAATTCCTGAGGTATACATTTGGTCATATTATTCTTGGTGACATTAATAGTTACTAGTATGTAGAAATAACAGATGTCAAGTATAATGTATTCTGTAAAATTATAGATGTTGCGCGTTCTCTCTTGTCACGTGTGGTGTGTAACGAAGCGTCAGTGCGCCGTGGTCTTGGCGCATGCGTTGCACACCTGTGTTCACACCGAGAAACACTTCTAACGCAGATCTTGGATAGAGCATTTGGTATGTGTTTGATGGTCATGTTAGGTCAGGTTAATACAAAAGCAATCCTATCAGCAAATCCTTTTCATGTAACAAGACAGATCATACTTTTATGTTGTCCACAGACATATCATTTTGAGATTTCATATTAATTGTTGTATTGAAATATATTCTTTAATGGGTATCCTATTATTTGTATGATTTATCATTCTTGATATTTCATATAAGCTTATATAACATATCATTTATGTATATTTTGTTTGAGTAAAATATATTATAACATTACTTTTTTATCATTTTACAGAAAAACTTTGGCCAATCGCTAACGAAGATAACATAGCGATCGGCTGGTTTTGTGTGATAAAAGCTGTATTCCAGATAAATGACATCAGTAAATTTACTGACAGTGCTGTATTTAACGTTCAAGATTACTTGGAAGTAAGCTTTTAATTTTAAATTACTAAGGAATTCTAATTGACAGATTATATGTATTATACAAGGTTCATTGTCTACTTAAAATTTTATCAAAATCTCTCAATTCACCCTTTTATATTGGCAGGACTAGTCTTATTATGATAATTGAACAGATTTGATACGATATGATATTTTTTTTTGGTTTTCAGCTATACCATTTGTGTATACTGTATATAGAGCAGTGTATCACACACAATGTTCAAAATGCGGTTCTTGAATGCCTCTGTGTCTTATTGGGACTTGCGCGTGGCGCATACAGGCGAGTTCTCACTGAACAGCCGTCGTCGAAGGTCTGCCTTGAGGATAGGATAACTCGGAGGGGGCATAAACGGAACACAAGTAGGTTATTTATTTATTTTCATCAATTGTATATAAATATTTAGTTTAACTAAAACCGCTACTGTGATACAATGCTGAGAAAGATCAAAAACTGAAAGACATAAGTGCTCTGCTAGGTTCAAATAAAAATCCTGAGGAAACATGAAAGTAATAACAGTTAAATGGTTTTGGCCAAGGAATTTATTAAGGTGCTTGCCTACCATTAAAATATTTTTGTTAAAATTAAGGGTCCCTCTTGTATGTGACACATTAGAGAAAAAGGGAATTCACGTTATAAATTGACTCATACTTATAATGAGAGCATAGATGAAATATTTATAAATAGATAAAAGTAAATAATGCAGTGAGTGGCTAAGCACTGTTTGTCCGAGGCCGGCACAAGTTTTCATTTAATATTAGTTGAATTTTCATTAAAATTGTACTTTTTAGGTTATACAAGTGCAATATCAACATACACCATTGCACAATTGCCACTCGAATCTCGTGAATCAGATTTAGCGTTCAGTGGGGCTCTGCAGCTCGGCAGCGTTCTCAGGCTTAACACTCCTACTGCCAGTGTTGATGACCTCAACATTCAGGTATATAAGCAATGGCCTTCATTTTGGAAAATAGATGCCAAAACCGCTGGCGTTATCTGGACTGCATACTCTACTTTATATTACTAAGTATATACCAAAACCGAAGTAATCAAGCCACTTTTTTATTGCCACGCTAATTAGGGGCTGAAAGTATATTCTTTAATTTAATTAGTAATATATTAAGTATGAATAAAGAAGTAGTACGAAATATTTTAAGTATACCTACATTTATAAAAGATATTAAAAAATTCGATGAGGGCCGACACTCGAATCCACTACCTCGAGTTGTACATTAAATGTTCTATACCTTTCAGACACCAGACAGTCCAGAAAGTGAGACTGAGCTCCAACTAGATGCGGAACAACTATCGAGAGACGTGTCAGAGCGACTGCAGCATTATGAAGACACCGATGAAGATGATGCTGTTTCTAGAGATACGCCATTCAAGGTAAGAAGGTCTTAAATTTGTTTTTTGGATTTCAAGCTAAAAGTGAATAAGTGTTGAGACGAAATATTTTCGGTTTAAAGACATTTTTTTCTTATTCAGATTAAAAAATCACCTATATATATAACTCTATACTAAAATATGCAAATTATTACTACGATTTTTCTTACCAAGAAAAATATGAAAGCATAAACAAATGCTTAATCTAAAATGTGAAAAATTGACTTTGATTGTTTCTAACAATTATCATTATGTTTATCTAAGAATGTTTTTTCTGTGGTCTAGAACACTATTGACAGTCGATTGAGGATAAAATTGTTGTCAGGTTAACATCGGTTCATCTACATGTGAGGAAGATGTAAGAGCGCTCTACTGCGCTCGTCTTCTTGCTGCACGTTTCTTGCTGACAGGTGTCCAAGGTGGTCTCGTATCAGATAGGTAATTCATAAATAAGATTTATTAAGTCTGCGGACGTAACAGCACAAATACTGACAAGGAAGGCAAGTATCTGTTTAGTGAGCTAACATATTCATATCTGGAAATACATATTTTCGATGCAAACATTTTGCGTTATATAGTGTACTCCATGTGATAAAATAACTAAAAAATCTAATATCAGAAGTGGGATCCATACAATAAACAGCGAAAAAACAAGAGTTAGATCCTAAATTAATGTCATCTATTACTTTATTATTCTTTACAGATCAGTGCGCGTGTCTGTTAAGTCGTCCGCGCTGTCCTGTCTCTCAGTATTACTTCGAGTACATCCACAGATTATAATTCATTATCTTGACAAGGATGCTGATTTAAAACTTTTGAATTATTCAGGTATATCACAGAATATATAATCATAATATAATTTATATAAAATATTAGGACTCATTCTATCTCAAGATCTATTCCTCGGGTGCAGCTAGTACGTTTATTTACAACATTGACTATAAACAAAAATATTATCTACAGGTTCATCCGAAGGCACTGACTCCAACCAAGACAATATAAACGAATTCATCCTCGAAAGAAATGTTTGCTACCAAGATTCTCTAACAGAATCGATCAGTCAAGATCTACTAAAAAGTTCCGATAGCTTACTGAACTCGAAAAAGGACGCAAAGTCCTTGGAAAAATCCCTAGAAAGTGAACTAAAGAGCTCAAAAGACGTCCCGAGTAACATTTTGGATAGTAAGTTGGTTGCGAGCGGATTTAGTGCAGATACTAATATGACCAATAGTAACTTCACATCAAACTCGATGACAGATGAACAATCGACCGGGTACCCTATGACGAGTAGTGGTGGCATACTATCATCGAGTATCGATTTAGATATGAAATTCGATCATTTCGGTGACGCAACAGTGGAAGTTAAGGAGAAGAGAGATAAAAAAATCGATATGGAAATCGATAAAAGTGAGGAAATCGATTATCAGCATATGAGTGACGTGTTCTTGTTGCATGAGCACAGCGATCCTCAGGTGCGAGGTGTAGTACGTGTTTGCATTGGGTCGTATCTAGTTTCCGCTATACATGTATCCCAAGGAGACTATACGAGGTGGAGGTGTTTAAGCTCGCTGCCAAAAGATGTCGCTGATGTTTTGGCTGTCGAGAAACTTGTGGAGATTATTTTAAAAGTGAGTTCTGATTAAAAAATAATAATTAATATAATTTATTGTAAAGCGTTTGTGTTACGTTCTTGTTCTCTTATTCGTTTTATTTTTTTATATTTTTTAATTTGGTAAAATTTTACTTTTTTAAATGAAAAATTAATATAAGGCAAACTTAGTTGAATATATTTAATGTCTATTTTAATAATCAAAATGATTTGAAACACTGCCATAAATAGCAATTGCAATACAATGATTAATTTCGCTTAATCGCAAGCGTCTAGACCACTTCTTATAATTATAAATCTCTTTTTAATATTATATTTTCGTCAAAATAGCCTAATCTTCTTTTGTTTAGGGATTAAATGACGAGATCCACTCAGCTGTGACGTTGACACTATCAGCATTAAGTCCGCTGGCATTGGCACTGAGTCGGAGCGTGCAGTGGGGACTTTTAGAGGATATGCTCAGTGCGTTGGTATCAGTGGAGGGTAATTCTTATTGGCTGTGTCGGCTTAACCTAGCGAAACTGTACGAAACGCTTCCGTACCAGAGGTTCGTGTTTTTATTTAAATGCAGCAAAGAACTCTATCATAAAAAAATATTAACTACAACTAGTAACTAACACGGGTCCACTTTATGAATGTTAAATACTCCAGCCATATAATTACCCAACAAGATCGCTTTCAAAATTCGAAAATCTACAGACTGAGACTGACAATTAACATAATCAGATTAAGCTTTTTTATTTGTAGACGGTATTTCGAGATCGGGATTACACAAACAGTTGTTAGTTACATAACTATGTATATTAGATTTTACTTACAATAAATAAATAAAAAAAATTAACTGTTTAAAACGCGGAATTTATCATATATTTCATATCTTAAACCGTCAAAATATTTAATTTAAATTTTCCCTACTCGCGTAAACTGCTGACAGTGTTTTATGTTTTTTTTGTTGGTAAATCAGGTTGTTTATGGTATGCAAGACCTACAAGTCTCGGAGTAGAGTGATTATGGACGCATTGTATCGCCTCCTTGCTGATCAAGACCAGAAAGTGAGGAGCGCTGCTGCACACGCGATAGCCAAGTATGGTGTATATGTAGTATATATTCTTATATTCTCAAAATGTTTCGTTATTTTATAATTTGATAATTATTGTAATTAAGTGTTAACTAGTTAGCAGTAGTTTGGTTTTGTAAATGTCTACTTCACTTTTATAAATTTAAGCCTAAATATAGCCTTCCTCAATAAATAACCAACGGCAACCAATACAAAAATATTTTTTTAATTCGAACCTGAGATTAGTGCGCTCAAACAAACAAACAAACTCTTCAGCTTTATATATTAGCATAAATAAACAGCGAACAATCGCAGGCTAATTTCATCTTTTTGTCATATGTCTTGATGTATAGTTAGTTGGTTATAATAAATATTTTTTTCAGTATAACTCCAATTATCCAGCCTCTGCCACGAGAGACCCCCATCACCATGCTTGCGGAAACTTCTAGAGAGATGAGCAAGAGTTTCTGCTTCGACGATAACAGATTATCACTAGAGAGAGTGAGAGAGATGTATTTTTATCAGGATCTGCCTGAACAGCTAAAGAATCCAGAGATTTTGACGGATTCAGATAGTTTAACGATGGTTGTTGGCGGTATTATGGGAAGGATTATGTCGGCTAACTGCAAATATTATATGGTAAGACTATATTATATAATAAATATAAATAAATAATTTGAACTTTGATAATAATAGAACTATGATAGATCAATTAATACAGACTCTTAAAGATATGAAACCGCGAACTTTATTTTACCATATTTCGAAGAAATTTTATTCCCATAAAAACGGTTCTTGTAAGTTAATATACTGTCACAGACGTTGTTGCTTATTTAAAGAAGACTTACATACATATTTTTGGGTAGCTTGAAATGTTCTCGTAGCGCACGCATAATTTTCTTCGTTTTTTCCACATTTCCCTTCGTTTCTTCGCTCCTATTGGAGCCTCATGTTTTACAGCCTTTCTCGATAAATAGTTTAATCAACACAGAAATAATTCTCGTAGTTTCTGAGATTATTTCTTTCAAACATTCATGTAAACTATAGAAACAATATAAACTGGTAAATTAATTACTATTCAATACTCTGTTCGCCAGCAAGGACTTTTAGAAACCCTTCAAGATATTTGCCACCGTTGGTCGCCGTGGAAGCACAGTATGTCCTATAAGGGTCAGGGTGTGTTATCGTACTGCTTGAGTCGTTTGGAGTGCTGTGGAGCAAGTGTGGCAGTTAAAACAATATGTACAAATATCTGCCGACTTGTATATCCAGGTATGAATTTATAAGATAATTGTAATATTTATTTAGATGGTCATGAAGGGGGGGGGGGGGGTGTAAAAGTATATGTGCTAATAATTGTCATGAAGAACAAAATAAACTATTTTTGTTCGTTCTGTTATAATGATTTAGTTTTGAAAAGAAAATTTCTATTAAATTTCAGCTGAAATTCATGATCTTATGCGACACAAATCCAACCGTGAAATATTCGACACGCAAGAGGTGAAAGAGAAATGGCAACATTTAGAGAACGATAAAGTTGCCAGCCTATCCGAAAGGTTCCTCCAAGTGACATTAAAAATGCTAAATGTTCTCGTACATTTGATAGAGGAAGTGAATCCTAATGTTTATATCAATAAGGGAGGGATTGTCTTGCCTGGGAGTCCTGTTAGAAGAAAAACTCAAGGTTTATAGTAATTTTTAGTTCCATTTTGTAATTTCTTTTAAGTTCTAGTCAATATATAGAGACTTACCTTTGTTTAAATATTTAATATTAATTAAAGCCTTATTCTTATATGTCCCAAGTATGAATGTACGAATAACAAATATATACTCTGACCATTTCACCCCAGCAGCCATCGAAGTTAAGACCTTTAATAGGTTTTTTTCTGTCATTCTATTTTATATCTTAGCTCTATTGTTTATGCGATTATATGTAACTTGTAATTATTATTAATGGTTTCTTTCAGAACCAACTCAACGTAAAAGCAGTATAACCCCAGAAACGGCAGACGAGAAGGGTTCGTTAAAAAAGAAGGCACATGCACCACCCAACAGTTTGAAAGCTAATTTCGCAGGACATTTTTTTAACGAACCGATATATATGAAACAGTATGACAACTTGAGGGCTACTTATTCCAATCATAAGGTTAGAATGTCGATAATATTCAAATGTTTTATATACACTTTTATCGTTTATATTATAGGGTGTTTTCGTAGAATAAAACTCTATTAATCGTACATTACGCAAAATATACTGATTAACTACAACTTTTGTTTCAATTTCAATTTTCAATAATGACCCGACGTTTCAGATGCATCTTTAGCAGCTATTTACCACTAAATATGTTTACTACCGTCCTCCGAAGCAGACATATTATTTTCTCTTTCAAAAATTATTATTTACAAAACATTTTTCCTTTCAGATCAATCTAGATCCCAAAGGCAGTATGTTCTACGATTTCTTATCGACCACGCTGAACTCACTCGCTATTCAATTAGAACTCTCGACTGAAGTTGAATTCGGTCCAATCACTGAAGAAATACTTTATTACCTAAAGGTTATAATGCCCCTATGTCCTGAGAAAACAGTATTTTGCGTCACGCAATTATTAAAATGCTTATTCGGCACAAATATGATAAACCAATACTCAGATTTCATGAGCATAGCGGATAAAGAGGTCAAAAAAGAAAAGGCTGCCTTCTTCAAAGATGTCATGTTGATCAACAATATCAATTTTGAGTCGGAGTCTAGGCGGAGCAGTGTGTGTTCGAATTCTAGTCAAAAATTATCGCTGGATAACAAGAACCCCAAGGTGGCAGAAGAGAGAATGCTCTTGATAGCTTTAGAGAACTTCAACAAGAATAGAATGGAGAGGAAGTGGGGTACGAACAAAAAAGAGTTAGAGAGATACATCAGACTGTTTGAGCCTGTGGTTATACAGGCATTGAAGGTAAATCTTGAAGCTTTTTTTATAATAGACATTTTTAGTTTCTTAGAAATATCTAATGACTTGTTTAGAACTAATAAGAGTATTATTTTTTGGGGACACCGATAGTAGGGGGTAACCCACACTATTTGTTGGCCATTTCCCTTTTCTGCCTTTGCGGAAGATAAATTACAGTTACGAATAACACTTATTAATATCTAAGTAAACTCTACTCTAATCTAAGCACTATCTTTGCCATACTAGTTTTGCCAAACAAGTTTAGTTTTTTCTTTTATGGCATTGTTTTTTGCAGACATACACTCTCCAAAATGATATCGGGCTGCAGTGTGCTGTTCTACAGCTCCTGTGTCAACTATTAGCACTGAGAGTTAACTACTGCATGCTGGACAGTGAACAGCTCTTTATCGGCTTTTTGATGAAACAGTTGGAACTCTTAGAGCAACATGAGATACCGTTAGTATCTTTTATCACTTTAGTACATGTAGGACAAGAAGGTTTATTAAAAGTACTCTTCAACCCAAATCAATGCTGTATCTTTTAAATAAAACACTTTAACGGTTTTAAACGCGAAATATATGTATTAGGTAAACTTATTTAAAAAATATTTTGTCTACCGCCAGACGTTTCGCATGCATTGCAGCAGCGATAGTCACGGGGAGACTGACTGGTCACGGCTGCTGCATTTTAAAAAGTTTAACTGATACATTTCCCGTTTAAAATTGTTAAAGGATTTTAACAACGTCTATTGCGAGTAATAAGACAGTATTTAATGCTATATTTGTTTCACTTAACTTTTTAATTTCAGGAATAGCTGTGAACTAGTGAAGAGTATATTGCTGTTTTTGGTTCAGCTCTCCTCATCAAAACACCACACGAAGCAAATCATTGAGATTCCCAAAGTAATAATGTATTTATTTATATAAATAAGTTAAAATAAGTATAACCCCTATATTTATTAGTATTGAATCAAATATAATATTATTATGCAATAAATTGTTACTTGCAGCTTATTCAGCTTTGCGATGGATTGATGGCTTCGGGTGCTCAAGATGAATGTATAGCTGGTCTTGAACCTGTTGTTCTAAGAGTATTTAGTAATATTGGAGGAAGTGGAACGGGTAATAATCTTATTTCAGTACAGGTCATTCTTTCCTTTATATAAAACTTTAATTATTACGTACGTCATTATAGGTACCAGTGGCCTAGGCAGAGCCCAGCAACAAGAAATCCAAGCGACGAGAGAAGTTCTGTTCTACATGTTACAGAAAACTATGCATCAGCCAAAGGTATACTCTCGCCATAAAAGTATATATTTTACTAAGTACTACCTGTAGTGGCTCGGTCCTTGCAGAACAGTTCTGCCAAATAACAACTATGACGGAACAGATGGCGCTAGCGTTGCAGTTTTTACTTAGTCGTTAGAGATATCCACCTTCTTTATTCCCCCTCTGACTATGACTGCTGCAAGGCAATCAAATCGTCGGGCCGTAGGCTGTAAATAAATTGTAAATAGGATTATCTAATACATTTCGCGTTTTAAACCGTTAAAAGTGTTTTATTGATATTTATTTTACTTTCGTTTTGGTTTGGTAGACTAAGCTCTCCCCGATTAGAGTTCAAGTTTTATCCTGTTTAGGTTAGTCGTTATTATTTTAAGTCGTGTTACAATAGTGTTATGATTTTATGATTTATGATTGTTTTACAGGTATTAGAAGTGGTGGCCTGCGTAATATCTCTCTCGCAGGAGCATCCGGAAAGCTACTACCGTTGGTCGGAACTAGCGACTGACACTCTTCTGAATCTGCTAGCAGAGAGGAGCATCGAATGCGATACGAGGGGAGGAGTACGTGCTCTAGAAGCTTGCTTAGACGCTCTTTATAGAGACGTTTTGCTCGAACAGACTCGCGTTGAGCTATTACTAAAAATATTATTCAAAGCGCCGCCCGATCAAGTAAGTGATGCTAGATTATAATTTTATGTTAGTGCTTATTTACAAATTTAAATTAATTGTTACCAAAAACAATGATGTAGTTAAATTCAACGGGCTATGGCTAATAATCAACGGGTCATATGTTTAAACCCCACCGGGTCCAACATTTTTCCGAGACATGTTTGACTTCGTCTGGAAATCTGGATATTAATTAGGTGGTAGGAATATCGAAATTCCGTCCGGGTCACGAACCACGGTCCACTGATGAAAAGGGCATCAAGTTTAATCGCATTCCGGTTTCGGTCGGTGGATTTTCGATACGCAAAGCCAATTGAAACATTTTGACGACATGGGTGAGACTTCAACCATGCGTCAATAGTCGTTCCGTGCTAATTAATTGAGCCACCATATATTATTTATTTATATATATTTTTAATCTAAACAGGTTTTTGATTTTTAATTTATGCAATGACATCATGTGCCAAACATTAAAGTCTTTAAACAATTCGTTTTTAATGTCTGTTATACCTATTTTAAGAGTAGTAAAAGTTTTTACAGATTCTATTTCTATATGAACATATTTTTATTTGGTATAGTCATTCTTATTACACAGATTTAATTTCATGCTCTGTATGTGACTAGAGTTATGTAAAGTACTTTCCTTAGAGCTTTGTACAGTCGATTTTTTCCAAGATTGGTACGAGAAGCAATTGAAATCAAAAAACACAGAAATTTCAATACCTCAGGCCTCAAATTATCAAACACCTGGGAACCCATATTATAAACTCTGGATCCCAATAAACAGCATACCGGTAAACGCGAAGACACCATTAGTCAATTCTGTAAGGACCCGGCCAGTTTCGCCAAATACCAACTTCGACGGAACAGATGGCGCTAGCGTAGCAATTTTTTACTTTGACGTCAGAGACATCCTGCATGTTTAATCTCCCCATGACCACGGCTGCTGCAAAACATCCGAAACGTCGGGCCGAAGTTAAAAATAATTTTCAAATAGGTTTAACTAATATATCACGTTTTAAACCGTTAAAGTGTTTTATTTAAATAAAGTACTTTCCTATTGGAGAAACTACCGTTTTAGTTCCAAATCAAAAATTTGGGTGAAAGCGCACTTTATTTAGATGTAGCTAGATTAAAAGCATAAATTTACTCCAAGAACGACATCTGTTTTAGTTTTATTAGTTGTATATAACAAGGTACTTTTATCTTTCCAGACTACCACGCCCCGAAAGTTGAAACTGCGCTATTTATCAATAATAATGGTGTTACTGCGCAAAGTGCTCATTCTAATCCCAGAGAGCGAAATACTGCTGTCAATCAACTATCTAAAGTCCACGTGTATTGCGCCACAGAGTATATTTTTCAATGTGAAACCCAGTACAGATCCGCTGAACGTGCAAAGTGTTAACGAGACCTGCGCCAATTTGTCACCAGATGTCATTCTGGTCCGGTTCCTCTTCAAGACCTTGACATATGCTATCATGGAGCTGGACGATTTATCTGGAGATCACGAGCAGTACAATGAACAGGATGAACTATTGTACTCTGTATGCGTAAATATCGTTATACAGGCAAAACACATGATGCATTTGACAAGTAAGTCGAGTAGTAATTTGTATTGGTTACGGAAACATCAAGAGTGTCTTTTAAGCGACCGCCTCCGTCATAGTAATTAAACGTGTGGATTAGTTTTGGGCTCTTGGTTAGTCCTTATTGTCTGAGGTGAAGTCTAAACAACTACTTACCTGTAAATAAAACAATTAATGTAGGGAGAAATAAATTAATAAAGAAGAATTTAATTGTGTAACAGACACAGTGAGATAATGACAAAGGCGGGACTAGAATCCATAACTAACAGCGTCGTGCGTTAACTCGTACTAAAACTTAATAATTACCTTGCCTCACTACTCTATATAAAAAAAAAATCACGTTAATTTTTATGTATGAAAATATAATTTTGTCTAAGTAAAGGTATACTACATTCTGGCGGTCGCCTATGATTTTTTGTCGTAAAGTAATTGTATTACTCACTATATGTACCTAATGTCTTATTTCAGATGGCTGTGGGTTTCCATTAACAGCGAAGAGCGCACAGAGCATCCTGCACCAAGAGCAGAGCGGTTTCAACACAGGCTTATACAGTCCAGATGAAAACATACCACTGGATGCGCTTAACCGCCGTGCTCTGCTTGCAAGACCGGCGCTTACGCTGCACTGGTCGCATTTACTCTGTAGGTTAGTATTACTCTAGATTTCCATATGCCCTATTCAATAACAATAACATACAAAACACAATTACTCTGATTTTAAAGGTTTTCTTTCCAAATTATAAAGAGGTAGATGTCCGTCCGTCCGTCTGTGACCGGGTATATTATATCAGTAACTGCGATAGCTGAAGAGTTTAAAAAAATCCGTTACTTCAATAAAAACAAATTCAAAATTAAAATTGTATTTGTATTGAAAAACAATTGATGACAGGGACGGGACTTAAACTGGTCCTCGCAGTTACTCAATTGGTTAAAACAGCATGGATCGTTGTGGATGTCGGTCCATTCCCGCCCTTGTCCTCAATATCGTCAAGATATATAATATAGATAAGAGGATTTTTAATTTAAATGATGATACTTTAAAAAAAATACCCAAACCAACATTATATTTATTTAGCGCATATATAATAGCACATAATTCAAATAAACTAATAATATTGTTACAGATTAAACTTCTTGTCACACAAGTACTGGCAGAAACTTATAGGGTTTTCACGTAATTTGCCACTCAGCGCACGCGCAGGCGATACACATCTGCTTCAAATTGACGACCTTCAGTTAGGTGTAGCGCTTGCTTACTGCGAATACTTTGTAAGTGGTAATTTTACAAGTAATTTTATTAATGTTAAGCAAATAAAACAAAAAATAATGTAATGGATATATTTCAATACTAGCATTCGTGATTTCAAAAACTTTCAAAGTTTTTATTCACAATCAACATAATAAAGTTCCACACTTAATAATAAAAAGATATTGGTACATATAACGATTTAACAATATAAATAAATTTAAAAGTAAAGAGATGAAAATAGGCGTTCAAGAAGCCATAACTCCTATACATTGTGTAATGCCACTTACATATAGCTTTTTATGATCCTTTTTTAACTGTTATTCCCAGAGTTATAAGAGTACTGGCGATAAAAGGAGGGGCGGAGGGTTTCTTGCCAGTTCCTGTGATTTGAAAACTGGTAGTAAATGTAAATTTAGAGTCTTTAGTTTTTAATTGATGTTGACCTTAATAAGTGTACCTGCGTGAATAAAAGTTTATGACTTTGACCCTATGTAAACAAACAAGGAAAAAACAAAAAGCATAGCTCTTTTAAAACTTCCTGTGCCTGTTTTCAGGCGGATAATGGACTAGGTGAGGTATTACATCTGACATGGTTATTAGTGAACCGTTGTGCTGTTCTACTGGCACATCGCCATGAGCCACCCGTGCAGCAATTGCTATCAGCGGTCCAACGAACGCCCGCTGCTAGTGCGCTGCTGTTACACGCTGTTGCTGCGCGTTGTCAACCGTCGATGCAGGTCATATAGCATATAATTTAGAAAGAAAGAACTTATTGACTACTAAGGCATACAAAACACATGTGGTCTTATTTAATTATATCATATCACATACCTATATATAAGACTATTTATTGATAAATATATTATTTTATATTAATATTATTCCCTATACAATGCAATGTTATACTATGCTCAAAAGATCTCGTTCGGCGGCTCGGGCGTTTTCTTATTTACAAAGTTTATTTAATATTTGTATTTATATGTTATTTTTGTCATAACCGAATTTTTTATGATAAGTTTTGATAATCGTCCTCGTTATTCTATATATTTTAAAGAAATATAAAGGTTGTATGTAATGTATACCTTAATTCTTAATGATAATAATTATCATTACAGGGTGAATTTGCTTTGAACACCTACAAAGTGTTGGCTGAGTGCCATGAAAATCAATCTGGTTCTTTGATCTTTTTCATATGTCGTATTATTGGCAAGTTGGAACCTTCGATAGCTGCCAGGTAACGATTTTCTTCATAAGATTTCCTGATTACTTGATTATTTGTATTATCTAATACCATTTTTTTTTCTAGGTTCTCCCAGTTAGCAATACAAAGGTGTAAAAGCCTACGAGAAGCAGGGTCCGAGAAAGTAACAAGTCAGCTTAATAAAGAAGACGTACAAGTTGCCCTTGAGTTGCTGCAGCGTGATAGAGCTCATCTGCGGTAAGTCATCTAAATTAAAATCTAATCTAATCTAAACTAAAAAAAAACTAATACGTTTTAAAAATCCCTTACGCAATGTAATTTTCATCTTAACGCTTAAATGGTTAATTTCAATGTCCTATTTATTTAGGCTTTGAACTCTTGAAAATTAAATTTCAGAGTTTAAACTCTGAAATTTAAATTTAAGTTTTAAAATGTTAAATAAGGTTTAAGAACTTTAACATTTTTCAATCGTTGTTACACCTGCCGTCGTTTATTAATATTTCCTTTGTTAGTTATTGGTATAAAACTTATTCGTTTATTACGAATTATCGTAACTATATTAATTTTTGTTCGAAATTATTAGACAAGGATTTAAAAAAAACTACAAATATCTCTTATTTATTAGACATCGGCTGCTATGTTTCTATATATTGTTCAAAGACTTTCTAAAAACGAAAACTTTTCATTGAGACGTCCACATTCAGTAATATTTGTAAAATTCCAGATATGCAAGTCTAGTATCAGAGCTAAACGCGCTTGCATCATCAATATTTGATTTGTCTCCTCTGGACTTAGCGCAAGAACGCGTCGTGAATCCTCACTCAATTCTCACTACAAATATTGATCACCAATGGCTTCTGCTACAGGTCAAAACAAGGTAAGAAAACTACTTTTATGGAAAAAGCTACAGTTAACAAAATTGCCCAAAAGTAGGCAAAAAAAATATTATGTAGGTGGCTGCTACTGGAATGTGGAAGCATAAAACGAAATACAGTATAATGACATTGTTTCTTTTGTCAGATGCTGTCAACGAGATCAAACAAGACTAAAAATACCTACGTACAAAAATTTAGCGAATCTTTTGTTAAAGTTACCCCTTGAAGATCTCACTTCTGTAATGTCTTGCTCCGAGTTCGATAGGAACATAGTGGGCGCCTGCTTCGATGTCACCTGTGATATATTTATAAGGGACTTCCTAAATGTTCTATCTGTCCAAGAGGCAAAGAATGAAGAACGTGAGACGATGAGACAACAAAGAGATATGGCAAGAAGTAAGGAAGAGATGACGTCATCAATAGACAGTAACAAATTAAACGTGGTCAACATACACGTGTTCAAAAAGAGCGATAGCAAGGAATCTAAATCGCAATTCTTCATCCCCATGACGTCTGTCGTTGATAACGAAGTTCAAGAGAATTTTGGCAATCTAAGAATAACGGAGGAAGAATGTGAAATATCAGTGCCGGAACTACCGAAGCTCTATATAGCAAGTGTATCCATCTTGGATAAATCTTTGGCTGATATTTTGAAGTTATTCCCCAAACAAAATAGACCGCTCAGCCAATCAGAGAACTTTAACCTAAACGTCGAACAAACGATAGACAGATACACGCGACGTTGCCATCAAGTGTTTCAAGATAAAGTATTTTATCAAGAATTCATGACGATACAAACAATACTCACCGGTTTTTTGGATTCTTTGACTAGGATAATATCGCGTATCGACGAGACGGACTGCGACTTGCTGGAGAAGTGCGCTGAAAATATACTGCCGAGTACTCTAGCGCGAAATTTGGCCATTTTCAGCGTAGTTTCGTTACAGTACTTATCATTCTTGATAAGTAATAAGAAAGTGGTTGAAGCACCTGTTAATACTGAAGTCTCCTTTCGTGCAAATTTGCCCACAGATAATATTTGCGTAGACCATGTCATCCTATTGACAATAGAGAACGTCACAAAAGCGCTGAGTTTCGAAGAAATATGGTCTGATTTGAACGTGGATAGCAATGTTAATAGAATTCAATCAGCGATATGTTGCTTGTATGCGGTTGTGAAATACTTGGTCAAAGACAAAAAACCGCTAGTAGGAAGGTCTCACTTACAAAGTAGGGACGAAGGTCCAAAGGCGGACATCATAATAACCGGAGACAAGTTGATTACATTAATAGAATATTGGGCATATAATTTCTCAATAAAGACAAATAGAAATATTTTAGGCGAACGCTACGTAAAAGTGATAGAAAAGCTACTCGTTAGATTAGCGCGGTTAGAAGTGGTCAGTAATATGGCACTGATTCCTCCCATAGCATGTTCGTACGTGGATGTTAGTGCAACTGATCAAAAGATGACGCACCGAGTAGAGCTACCTCTTCAGGCATTACAAGATATGGATGTATTGGAACCATTTTTATTCAGGTAAGAAATTACTACACAGTATGAAGAATAGAATTAGCAACTAAACGTTTTCATCAAAGATGGCGGTTCAAAATGCTAACTATTGTAGACACATGACTTGTTATTTTTTTAATAAAAACTAAGTGATGTTACAGAAATGTAAACTTAATTTATTTTACTAAAACGTTTGAGTTGTAATTTAGTAGTCTTGGTTTTAAACTGATTTTATTTAGTGTGTTCTACTTGTTTAACGTGCAAATCTATCTTAAACTCTCGTAATTTAAGTGGTTTTCCAAGCATCCTAAGGCAAACAACTTTATGAAGCTAGTATATATTTTTTTGCAGAGTTAATCTAATAGGCTGGTCGTCGAAGAAGCAGTTCGAAGAAATTTGGGTGGGACTGCTAGGCGCTCTTCAAGGCAATGGACCGCACTGGGCGGTGCGCGGTATCACACAGGTGTTGGTTAGTGCTGCCCCAGCAGTGCGTGCAAAGGGGCTGCTGCATGTTCCTAGGAATTATCTGCCACTGACAGATGGGTGAGACCCTTTTGACTTAAAGAGTAATTACATACGATTATTACATTAGATTGTGCTCGTTTAAGCCTAACTTTTTATCGTTGATTTATTTGAATAAATCATTTAATTTTTTTACAGTATTTATTTGTTTATCAATTCTATTTATTGATGTAGACTAGACTTATATAGATGGCGTTACATTAATGTTAATTTGCATTACGTATAAAATATCATCATGATATTCTTAGTTCATTTTTTTTTATTTATAGAATGCAGAGACTGCGAAGTGTTCTAGTCGGTACAAGTTCCTATAGGATATTCGAAGATATTAATCTCGAGCACATCCCTCTTCTAAATGACAACATCACTAGCTATCAGTATGCCCAGTTCAGTACTGAATACCTGAAATTTGCTTCAGGTTAGTTATAAACATAAACGACACCTCGTCACGTATATTTTATACTTGACATTTTATTATATTTTTCTGAATTTCTAAATTTTCTTATTAATGTGAAGTTAGACGCCAAGATGCCTATATATATAATTTTCTCTCACCTTAAATAAGTTATACACTTTCAGATCTGATCGATGAAGCTCACTACAGAGTTCGTCAAGAAGTGAAACGAAAAAGAAAATGCAACGAGATCGATATAAATAGTTGCGTGCAGTTATTAATGGATGTTACCACCGATATGCTTGATCCAAAGGTAAGGTTTTGTATACGCAATACGGGTTAGCAAACGCGCTCTCTAGTGATCTTGATCTTCGACGACCCCCAACAAGTCTCAAGTAATTGACTAACACACACACACAGTTTACTAAAGTTACAGTCATATATCCAGCTGTTTCTAATGATACTGATACAAAGTGAGTTTAAATAATGAGCAGTTCTGCTTAGGGACCAAGTAGTGTCAAGCAAAGTCGTTTCCTATGGATAATATTTTAAATAGAAAAACCTTAAACTTCTTCTCTAGCAAAATCGTTAAACCTGTTGACTTAAGAACACCGAAGGCCCTCAACAAACAGTTTCGTTCAAGTGCAGCGCGGCATATGTATTTATCCTGTAGGATTCTATTTGGATATAGTTTTTAAATTACCCCTTAAACATCGATTCCTAATTTAATAGCTGTACTTATTTTAGGCTGCGACCGGTTTAGCAGCACGAGTGTCATTGCTATCAGCTATAACGACAACGAGTTCTGTGTTCAATTCTGCATCGGTATGGCGGCGAGCGGGTGCTCAACTCAGCGCGCTTCACGCAGCTCAGTGGCCTCATGCAGCCACTGCAGCATTACACGCACTGGCTAAGTGCCTTCCAGTGCTAAGTGCCTGCGCTCCTGGAGACACTACGAAACAGGTTCAGGTTCTTTTATGATAGAGGAGGACAGGCGAGCATGGGGTTTCACTCGATGGTAGGTAAAATCCCATGCTCCCAGACATATAAAATCAAGATGCGCTATTATCGATCTATTTTGGCTTTGGGTATTCATGGACTGAAAACGAAATGCCATTAAACTTAACGGCTTTTTCAAATGTTGTGAAATTTGACAATTCCTACACCCCATTTAATATCTAGAATTCTTGACGAAGTCCACCAACATTTTTGAGAAAAACTATAAGTTGATTCGAATTCTATTGGACTCAGTGGGAATCGAACTTGCGACCGGTTGATTATCATTAGCTACCATTACACCAACGAGCCCACCACGAGTAGTTAAAATAAATAAGTCTAACTTACTGACAAATAAACTGAAATATGACTATTTTTTTGTCTTTTGTTTGGTTAAGATGTAACGACATGCTTATTGGTCAATTTAATTTAAATACTTTTATATACCTCAACACAGGAATTGTCAGTAGTACATGAAAAGCTACTAAAGTCTCTGTCGTCCAGTTATGCGCCTCTAAGACAGGCTGCGCTACGAGGTTGGCTACTGCAGCTACAACACACGACGGTTCAGAATGATACGTTGATTGTATTAAAACAACAGGTTACTCAACAACTAGGAGATACTAAGAAGTACGTAGTGAATCTGTTTTATTTATCTGCTCTTTTTGAGTTTGGTAGGTTCTTATTTGACTTGTCCTCTGAGCCGGATTTATATCTGCAATTTTTTAATGACTGACAACTAGTTGATACTACCGCCATACAAAACTAATTGTTAAAACTCATTATACTTCAGAATATCAGTGTATGAGCAGAGCTTGTACTGGTCAGTGCTGTTCGCGTTGGTGCCAGAAGTCCCGGAACTGCTAATGCTGGCTGCAAATAGTCTGACAATGAGACCACAGCATTATTGCGCTGACTTACTTGTTAGGGTGAGTATATTTAGGATATGTATATACATAGTTAAATTATACTCACAAACAAAGAAACTGATAATTAGTGTTAATTTATTAATTTACAGTTTAACGTATTGTGACTAAAAAATTTATAAGATAAATGCGATTTAAGTATAAGGAACTATGATATTTTCTTTTTTTCAGGGATTAATTTCAGTCTTACGTCAACAAGTATTACCGAAGGATCTCAAGAAAAACGTAGTAGAGAAGTTACTGGAGAGCATGCCCAAGTTATCGGAGGACCACGCCGTTCAAATACTAATGGTGCATTTGTTTTCAGGTAATGTATAACATTGGTTATTCACATTTGGTATTTATCTCATCGTATGATGTAAAAAATCAATGTGTTGCTGTCTATTCCTTAAATACATCTCCATAAAGGCTACCTATCCGCTGCCGTAGAAATTTCAATGTCCTTGTTCTTCTTTATCGTATTCTCTTCTCAATCCCAAACCTCGGTTTTCAAAATATTTCTTTTCAGGTTAATTGCCTTTCTTTTTCATGTTCTTCTCTAGAAACTTCCCCTCGCATTTGGTTGCCTGGAAGAGATGTTTAACGATAGTTTCACCTTCTTTATAAGCTATATATATTTATAACTATTCCTGTGATTTTTATAATTAATAAAATATATGTGTACATACTTTAAAAATTAACAAGCACTTTTTGTTTCTCTGATAATTAAAAAACTAACAAACACTACTATTTACAACAACTAATTTATGAAATTGATTTTAGCCGACAGCAAGCTAGTATCTCCAAAGCAGCGATGTGAGGTCTCCAACATGGACCCAGATGTATTAATGGGTACGATGGAGCGTATAACCTTACTCTACAAACGGCTGCGGTGCGTCGAGCGGCCGGAATGTCAAAAGGCGTGCGCAGACGCATTGCGGTACTTTCTACGAGAGACACTACCACCAGCTGCTACTTTGAGCCGAGCTCTGCTAGAAATGCTTGATGCATGTCGACAAGCAGAAAGCGATACTAACTATGCTCTTAGTGACCGGGATACCCGCGTCAGAGCCGCTGTTGCAAATTGTGAAGTTGTCTTTGAGGTAAGTATTAAAAAATATAGCCAGGTAAAATCGATTCTAGACATTGAACCTTAATTCGCAGTTGTTAAGGTTGAAATTACATTGCGCGAGTGGTTGGTTGACGATGACGTGTTTTAACACGGTAGCTCAATGGCTTAGAGCAACAGCACGAAACACTGTAGATACCGGTTCTGCCCGTGTTGTAAATTATTTTTAAAATCTAAAATCAATGTTTATTTTATATAATGCCATCATGAATCAATATAACGAAATTTTCAAAACATATTCAAGAATATTCCTGTATAGTTTAAGTGCTTTAATGCGCTGCTAATGTTTTGGCGAGACTTAATCATAACTATTATAATATATTTTCAAAAACAATGTAAAACAAAACAATCAAAAGTATAGTACAAGCCGTCTTAATACAGAATTATCATATTCTTTATTTCTTTTTTCAAAAGTTTTGTATGCTATCTTGCCAGAGTTAAGAATTATCTTACTAGATGTATTATTTAAATATTTATTTAATTAATTTTATGACTACATCTGAATTGTATATCTACAGGTGTTCGAGGCGTCCGTAGTTCAAGAACAACTGAACGTGTTAAGCGGATGGCTCCTCGAGGCTTTAGGACATTTGCTCACCACCAACCTCTCTTCCCGCCTTCTCCCCTTCACCCTCCTCCCGCTGCTTGTCAGTGCCACCCCCCATCCCCTCCTAAGATCCACGTATCCCCTTGCCCTCAACGCGTTTCACTCCGGCTTCTATATCACCGAGGGACATTACGGCATCTTCAACGAACTCTTCAAGTGTAAATCTTCTATGACTTTCTCTGAACGCAGATTATTATGTCTAGTCGCTATGCACTCACAATTTACTGAACAGCAATGGATGAGGTTGAGAGAGTTGTGCGATGAGAATGAGAATTTGGATGATTTGAAACAATGTTTGATTGAGTTGAATAAAAACACTAACACATGATTTGACCTTTGTTAAAATGTACGCTTGTTACTAACTAGTTGAAAAATTAACCCCCCCCCCCCCCATTTAAAAAGTAAACGTAGATAGTACTATTTTTGATACGTGGAAACTAAAATGCCGAGTTCATATAAAAGTAATTATAACTTGAATTTGCGTCTTTCTTGCAATAATGTTATTAATTTGAAATAAATTATTACTTAATAGATAAGCTAATGTTCACGCTTGTGTTCACGCGAGTCTAAAAATAAAACTTTGTAGAGAATATTGTATTCATTACAGACAATAGCTTAAATATGCACTAATGTTTTCGAGTGCGTTGTTATACACAAAAATAGAGTTAATACAATTCTTTGTTTGCTTATCAACTTGGTTGTATTGCTTATGTAGTTCAAAGATAAGTTATAAGTAAGCATATATGTTATTGTATTTTGAGGATATTTAAAGCATTGTACTTATTTAATTGTTAATTAAAACATTCCATTTTATGAAATTAACGCTTAGTCATTGGAAGGTTCTAAGTGCAAGCAGAGTAAAACATGTTAGTTGTAGGTATCTGAGATTTATCAAGAACTAAACGTGTAGACACAGAGCTTCAGATTTTAACCAACCAAAACTTTTTAAGTATCTAGTCATACAAATGCCGAAGTTTAAATGCTAGAAGTTCGTACTACCCCGTGAGTAAAGTACCTTCATTAAGGTGGTCCCTTGGATTAACGGTAAACACAGCGTCCTTATTGACGAGCCTAAATTAATAAAAGTTTTGTTATTTTTTTTTCATCCCTAAGGTTTGTTGACACTTCATTTAACGGAGAGAACATTGAACCTTGTTATTAAATGTGTCTTTGTAGTGTTGTAGGATATTATAGAAAAAAATAATACAAATCTGTTACATGTTAAGAAAAAAAAGGTTTTTGATTCATCATCATCTCGTGAAGATAGCTTATTAATAAAGAAGTGTATTTTTTGTTAGTGTTTGATCAGGAAACAATAATTAACAGTTATTTTTGCACGAACTATCAATATAATTATTAATATATATATATATAAATAATCTTATCCCGTTATCTTTGATTAGTTATTGAATTAAATTAAACATTCTTATTTATGAATGTAAGACAAGGAATAACCATTGTCAAATGATTATGGTTTATAGTATTTAAAAATAATGCAATTGTATTTTAGATTTAAGTAGACATAGACGCGTTGTCAATACATAGATTTTTGGTAGCTGTGTTTCTTTAGCACCATGTGACTGTGAATTATATTTTGTAAAAGTTGCTCTAAATTATATTTTTAAGCTTCCGCAATAAATTATTTAATATAATGAGCGTGTTTTTAAATTTCCCATACCAGTTTGAAACGAGAAAATATGTATGAATAACTTCCTCATAGATGAAAAATTTGAAAAGTATAGATTTTTAAAAAAAGGAACGCAAAAACACAGCCGGTACTCGAACACGGTCTCGATGTTTACTTTCCTGTGCTTTCTGAAGTTCTTTATTTTCGACTGTATACAGCATCGACGAGGTCCTTGGCTTTATATTAGCGATGTATTGCTAATAAATATAAACTAGTTATGATTTCGATCCCCGTCGAGTCGAACATGTTACTAATAAATTTATTATTTCTATATAATAGCATATTCGTACCAGCCATTAATATAAAAAAAACTTCGAATTTTAAATAAATGAGTGGTAGGAATTATGAAAATTTCGTCGAGTCACCGTCCACAGATGAAGCCTTTAAGTTTAATCTAGTTACAGTCAGTAGATCTTCGAATAACCAAAGCCATGATAGGTCGACGGCGAATTTTGTAGAGATGTTATGTAGAATATTTGATCTCTCATGATGTGAACCCCATTTTTGTCTACTGAATATCTTTTAGAAATGTATGAGGCCATTAGAACCAGAGTAGCCTAACTGCAATTTTATGAATTGAATTATTTATATTTTCACAGTCTAAAAATGTTAATCTAGCACAGTGACCGAAAATTGTTAACATAATCCTTACGCTAATAATAGTACAAATTCATTTTCACCTAAGTTAATTGCGCACTCTACTACTTCCTACTGATTGAAAATCATGTTTTTTGTTGATAGGCCACTTTGTCTTTAGCAGCCTCGTGTATTTTGCAGATATACGTACCTTCCGGGTTTAAACCAGCTACGCCTACCTGTTGCAGCGCTACAGTAGTCAAACAATTATACTTACCAGCTACTAATCGAACATTAGTTATCGCGTAATTATCAGATAATTGGTCAAAGCGATTGTCAGTATCAGTGAGTTATTCAACATGGCTGAAACTCGGCGCGGCTACATCTTTGGCGCTTTCCTTTCCGGAGTTCTGTGTGTTTTATTAATTATTGTGGCTTTGGCTAGTGAAGGATGGGTGGGTATCTTTTTTTGTATACAACAGCTGTATATACACTAAAGTTATTTATATAAATATAAAATGCTTAACAATAATACCTGACTATACTTTAGTCATCAGTTAGGAATTTTTATGTTTTTATGAATGAAAATTATTGTCCCCTCGTCAAATAACTTTTGCGTGATATAGGACTATATGAATACCTATGCTATACAACATGGACGTGAGATTCCTGTTGGTTATGAGTATCCGTCCTGTGTACGTGCGGTCGTGAGTTCGATTTGCGAATTAAGTGGACAATTTAAAATGTGTTATTTATCAACCAACTTTTGTGGTTTTATATTTTTATCCTTGAAATCTTTTCTTATATTAGATTCGTTAAATCATATATTTATTACTGAAGACTATTAATAATTATTATTATCATTCTTTGAAGTAATGATTCTGATCTGATGATCATACTATAAATACTCATGCTCGCCTTTAAATTATCAATAAGGAAATCTTAAAACCATATGTTAATGTTTATATGATAATATTATCTTTATCCATTAAGAAGTAATCTATTTTTAATGTTTCGCTACTTTATCAGGGAATCAAAGTTTTATATTTTAATTCGAGTGATAGAAAAGTAATCAAAAGTGTTTATCTAAAATTCTATAAGACAAGATATAAATTAATGCTTTGAAATGACTAATCTATGAATGTACAAATCTTATTCTAAATTGTGTAAAATCACGTATCCTTTGGAAGAATGGGAGAAAACACTGAACGGTCTGTTCCACTGATCTTTATAGTGAAAGGCGTATAGTTGTATAGTATAGTCCACTGTACATAGTTATATATTGTTATTATGTTTTGTTGTATATTATTATGCCGATCTAACAAATAATAATTGATAATATAGCATTAATTTCGACCAAATTTAATTGCCTTAAACACGGTTCTCGTAAGTTAATCTTAAAAAACTGACTTTTACTGTTGGGGACATTTTGTTAAATCATTTAAAGAGGTCCTCTAACAGTAATAAAGTGAGTGCACCGCAGTGCAACAGAAGGCCTAAAAGATGTACGTTCTTTTTCACGCTTATTAGTTACAGCGTGATATTCTATAGCCTAAAGCTTTCCTCGACAAATCCAATATTCAACATAAATAAAATTAATTCGAAACATTGTAGGAACCTAAGATATATATGTTTGTTAACATCGTGTTATTTACCAAAGATGCGTCAATGAGATTTATAGATACTGCGTCAGTATAAAAGCAATTTAACAGGAAAACAAATCGTTAAATCCAAAGCAAATAAGAAAAGCGGGGTTAAAAAATAGATTCAGTCACGAACTCGCTTTAAATTTGTTTAGAAATAAACTCGGGTTAGGTACGTGTTTGGATTACCTCTGCCCATTTGTGCTTACGTGAATTTTTATTGGAACAAATTCTCGCATTTTGCTAATAATAACAGCAAATTTAAACATAGCTAAATAGTCAATTTTATATCTAACGGGTCACGAATCGCGGCTCACAGGTGAAAAAGGCGTGTAGTTTAATCGCGTTTCGATTTTAGTCTCTGGATTTCCGAATATCCAAAGCCAAAATAAGACGACAGCGCATCGTATTTAAATGTTATATGGCTGGGGTATACGTCCTCAAGTGAACCCTGATGCTTGTCTATCCTCCTCTATCATAAAAAACAATCAGACCCACAAATAATCTCGTCCCAAAAGCGGTAAAAAAGGATATTGCTTAAAATATTACTTGGTTTACACAATTTGTGGACGAAGTTTGTAAAATGTAATGTTCGCTTATGGCCTGTAATGGGCATTCCCTTTGCGCTGGTCGCAGATGTTATTCATATCCTGCGCTTGACGCTCCACTCACGTACAGAGAAAACTTATTCACGTCACAACTAGAAAAATATTATTCCCTTCAGCTGAAGGTCTTAAGTTTGATTACCGAGGGAATAAATTGCCCTGACGCGGCACTGTAATAAATCTGTTCCAGGCTACGTATCACGGATATTATGATGCCGAAATCTTAGTATTGATTTTAACAGCATTATATACTAAAACAATGTAACTTGTTAGTAAATTAATTAGGATAATATTAAATACAACCAATTAGGTTCAAAAGTTCGAAATACCAAACGTGTATCGTAAGCAGTGTCTGTAGTTAACGAACAAGTACTAATTTAAATATAACGCGTGTAGTACACACACGATAGGTATTTGATAAATAATTTGTATATAAAGTTAACTAATATTTTTCACAATATAAACCGTTAAAAGTGTTGTATTTAAAAACGTACAACAGGGTTTTAAACGCGTAACGTATAACATAAGTAATTTGTACATTAGTCTAACTAATACATTTTGCATTTTAACCAGTTAAAAGGGTTTTAATTAAATACGCACAACAGGGTTTGAAACGTGAAACATACTAAATTATGTTTAACAACGACCTGTCCCGAATACTTTGCTGCTGTTGATTGAATTTGATTGCCGTTAAATGATACAATTCGCGTTTAAAACCGTAATACTTGTTTTATTTGAACAAATTATTATTAAATTAAATTAAATATTCATTTATTTTATTTTATTAACACAGTACAGTAATCAATTACTTTTTTTAAAGTAGGTATCAATCACACTTAAATTAAATTTAAATATTTATTCGTCTTATTAAAAATAATTCTTACAGGTTGTCTCAACAGCTACAACGAATGAACAATACAAGGATAGTACAGTTCGCTACGGACTCTTCAAAGGAGAGCTAGCCTTACATCTTCTCATCACTCCTTCATATAACAAGCTTTACAGTAAGTATTCAAATTATCGGTTATTAGTAAGTAGGAATAAATGTCATATAATTCGATAGAAGTGAAAAAAAATACCTGTGGCTTCATAGTATCGTTATGTGGCTTTTAAAATGTTGGAATTATTAAAAACTGCTTCTACATGATTTTTTAAACTTAACCATTCAATATACGCAATTACTGCTTAGTAGCCATCTTCGTATGTCTATGTTTAACGCTATATTTAGTACTGTGTTATATTGGAAAGGTACTGCTTCTAAACCCTGGTCTAGAGCCAAGGTAATTGTTTCGATCGGACAGGATACAATAGTTATATCAACTATGTCTGTAAAAGCGTTTAGTGGTACAGACGCTAAATTTCCTCGCCCCACATCCTACAGAGGAAAAGAGTGTTTCACACTCTTAAGAACTACAGAGCAATATTATTCAAGAATAAGGTATAAATAGGCATGAACATTTTAAGGTACTAAGCTGAAATCAAAAAAGAGAACAACAAATAGTAGCCAGCTATTAAAGACAAAACCTCTCGACGCTTTAATTTATTGTCTTCAAGCTCCCGGAACTAACAATGAAGCTTTTGCAAATAATTGCTCACTCGTGGCTAACGCTTATACAAATTTGTGGGCCTCCACTGAGCGAGTGTTCCCTCGTTGCCTCACGTGATTGCCTCGGATCGTAATAGTAATGTTTTTGATGAACGCGTTAATTCATTGGTGTAAATGAATGACTATAGTATATATTAAAATGACTAACAAACAATGGGTTCAATTCTTACCGGGTTTATCATGAATAATAACTTTATTATATTTCTACGTTCATGCGAGTCTTACTTGAAAATGTTTTATTAAACTACTTTTCGCCGATCATTATTTTATGAGTATCAAAAAAACATCCGGGCCACGAACCATTGTCTGCACATGGAAAAGCCGTGATATCATATGCGTGTCGGTTTTAGCCCATGGTTTTTCCGAACAATAAAACAGGTGCATGCAAGATTCGATATTTCTTAACCGGGGTACTTGAAAATGCATTAATGTATACACCGTGCTTTTTTGACATAAAAAAAAGAAAGAAATTTAATTGCCGCGCTCGGAACTTACGAGGCACAATGACACTGCGCCGCGTGTTAAATATGCCTCGGCGGCCTCGCCATTTTGCTCGTTCAATGGAGACTTACCCATTAAATCGCTTGTATTGTTTTCAGTGACATGTATTTCGGAAGTTAACGCGTGCGCTGTTAGTTGTAAGACGGAGCAACAGGCGCGAGACGAAGAGGTAAATATAACTTCTATAATAGTTTGAGACCTCATCTAATTCAGTAGCGATCCATTTGTGGTGACACCGTTAGCTAATGTTCTATGAATAATTAATATGTATTTATAAGGTTTCCTGAACATGATAAGTCTCTATGTTACTTTCCTACATATTATATTATATAAGTATTGTGTACATTTAAATAAAACACTTTAACGGTTTAAAACGCGATATATTTTAATTAAACTTGGTTGAGAATTATTTTTAACAACGGCCCGACGTTTCGGATGCTTTGAAGTCACATGGTCACGGCTGATGTAAAGCATCCGAAAGGTTAGGCCGTAGAACCTTCTGCCTGTCTGTTCTCTTTTATCATAAAATAAACATTTTTAGACAAATGTGACCACACTGAAGTTGAAAAGGTTCATATAAATATGCTATGCTTAACATGTAATTGATAAATATGTGAATGATCAAAGCTTTTAAGACAAAGTAAATATTTAAAAAATAACAAAAACATACAATAAATGCGCGATATAAAACTAACTAAACAGTGAGTTCTTTATAAAATATATTAACTAATGATATTTCTTATTGTAATCCGTTAAAGTGATTTTATTGTGAAGAGAATAGACAAATGTAATTCCTTCATTCAATTATGTACATTCTTAACATTAACTAATTAAGAATATTGTGTTAGGTACGCGCGCTGTCCCAGGGATTCAGACCGAATCAAGCCTGTGTTTCGATAACGACTGTGGACACTACTAACCCACGTATGTATTGTACAATAACAATGTCATATATGCCTTTTTTATTTGCATTAATAACTGCAATAGGAAAACCTTTACGGAGAGGATTTTTAAACATACAAATTGAGACTTTCAATTTATAACTAATAATTCAACGTATTTTCTTCACTAAACTCTTCCTCACTATTGTGTTTTATTTATGAAAAATAATATAACACGAAGGTCGGCTAAGTAGGATCTAAAGGAAAGAGTGGAGACAAAAAATAAAAAGAAAAGACAAAAGTTATGGAGTCGTTTTTTTTAATACCATTGAACTTACCGTGTGTTAAACGTCATATCGTGTCATTGTTTTTGGGGCTGTCTATCCGAAGTAAGCGAGAAGATGTTTCGACGTTTGGCCATCACGACGGACGGCATCATCAGGAGATGTTAGCCGAACAGTCATTTATATATATCTTTTAAATATGTTGGACATGGTCTAGATATAAAATGGGTGGTGTTGAACATCGAAATTCCGTCGAGGTTGGGAACCACGTCTAGAGATGAGAAATTCATCAAGTTTAATCACGTTTCGTATTCAATCTGTGGATTTCTGAAAATCTAAAACCAAACTAGGTCAATGGTGTTTAAATGTTATGTGACTCTGGTAATTACCTAGCATCATAAAAACATATTTTTCTCTTACATGTTCTCGTGGAGCAGTGGAAAATCCTCCAGTGATATCCTACAGCGTGTATGTGAGCCTGGTAACATTACTGGTTTGTCACCTGGTATTAGCAGCTGTTGCAGCAGGTCTTGCCATACTCAATGCTACAAAGAACCCCACAGAACCTATATTCGGATTGCCAGGTAACTCTTCGTAGTAATTAAATTAATGAAAACAAGAAAAAGCCTTTAATTTCAACAACGTTTTACATAAATAATTTCTTTATTCTCTTGTTATAAGTGTACATGGTATTCGGTTATAATTATACGATTTTCAACATTCAATTTATTTATGTTTTATACAGCTTTCTTATATACATGTAGTATTCATTAAATAGATTATACGTAAGTGTGAAGTATTAGTAGGAAGCAAATTTTCTCTCTGGCAGTGAATAAAAACCATCTATGTTTTCTTTTTTTAATATGATAACCTCTTATGGTGAAAAAGACCATTAGTCATGTAACGGTACTTATTGTTCCGACGTCTAATCTTAACATATAAAACTATTTAATTTGACATAGTTTAAACTTTTTTATTTCTTAGTATTTAAGATGTATTGTTTGCATGTTTTGTTATTAAAGATTTCAAATAACATGTTATCGTTCGAAGGTTGTCTATGGTTAAACGTGGCTACTGCGATAGTAGGAACGACGTTTCTGATGTTCTTTGGAATTTACTGGGCAACATCTGGCTGGAATGAACACCTCGCCTTCTCGTACACTGCGTTAGGATTGCTTAGTCCTTCGCCAGGACTCGGATTTTCGTACTGGTAATATCTGTTAATTATCATTAGTTTATGCAAGTAGTACACATTTGTATAAATCACTTTTGACGGTTCAAAACGCGATTTTTTTATTTCAACTACCCACATACAATTTATTTTAACTAAGGGTCGACTTATTTGCTTTTATTAATCGCTTTTACCTAACTTTTTTCTCCGTAACCACGGTTGCTTATTGCAATACATTTCTAGTGTTAATCCGTTAATTTTTTTTAAATATCAGTTACTTAAATAAATTTATAATTTTTAAGTGTACATAAATTGTTTTATTTCGCTTATATCATAAAAATATACATACAACAGTTTTTTAGTCTACAAGTAATATATTTTTTATTTCTCAGGCTTCTACTGGGCGCTGTGCTATGCTCTCTAGGAAATATCTGCCTACTGTTAGTCCGTAACTACCTGTTGGAACGAGATCCACCACCACCCACGATCAAATTGGAGAACCATTCAGATGGCACTATCTTTCTATACTAATCTGTTTTTACTAGAACACAAATACGCAAAGATAGAGAGGGAAAGAGTAACACGCGTTGTCTCTTTTCACGATGTTGGACAGTTTTGATGTCCATGACAAAACACTAGAAACAGCTTTTTTAATTGTTAGTGTAGTTTCCGTCTAAAGAGTACCTACGATATTCTTTGCATGAAATTTTAATGGGAGACAACTCTCAAAAAATAATAAAATCGACAATAAGGTGACTAAAAGTAAATCAAAGAAAAGATCATCTTTTAAACTATTGAAATTAAAAATTATGTTTGTGAATTTGAACAAAGTTTATTTAGCATAATTATTATTATTATATAGTAATTTAAAAATTGTTAGTTAATTGAATGTTGTATATATAGGTAAATAAATAGTACTATAGTACATATTTATAAATAAGTACAATAAACTTTATTATTGATTGTTTCTTTTCTTCAGTCTTTTGGCTACTACTACTTTTTATTGAGACATTTAATGGTTCTCTTATTAGTAAACTTAAATTTTTATATAAGTAAAACACTTTAACAGTTTAAAACGCGATATATAGTAGTTAAACTTGTTTTGAAAATTATTTTAACTGCGGCCTAACGCTTCGGAATCCCCGTGACCACTGCAACAAACGTGTTGTAGTGTTTTATTTGAATGTGTACGACTTACCTAAACTACAGACACAAATTTTGAAACATAAAAAGATCTTTTTAAAATAAAACATTTTAACGGTTAGAAACGCGATATATTAGTTAAACTTATTTTTAACTTCGGCCCGACGTTTTCAAATAAGTTTAACTAATATATCGCGTTTTAAACCGTTACAATGTTTTTTCATGTCAGTAAGTTTTTCCCTATTTAACGCCTGTATATTTCATAAGCACTAAAAATATAGATAACGTTGGTCTTCTCCAAATGAATTACATCTGCCGTTCGGAAAACCTGCTTCGATCTGAAAATCATTTAAAAGCACTCGCATTTTCACAAATAGCGAACCCATTCAGAGAGTTTACTAACCAAAGTAATTGAATTTTTTCTACAAACGAAGCACATAAAAACCAGAAGTAAATAAAAGCCGCGGCTGACATGCGACAGGTGTAGTACTTAAAGTTTAATTACCTGTTTTATATATGACGTAAGCAAAAGCGCGTTATAAATTAAAAAAAAACCTTTTTAAAACTATAGTTACGATGTTTTTAATTTGACCAAATTTGTGTGGCTCTATTCAAAAGGTCACGTCATCTTTTTACACGAATCGTTTTATACATGTTTCAATACGTTTAAATTCTTTTCGTCTTAAATTTAATTTATAATAATAATAATTTATTTTTCAGACCATAAATCCATTTCTTAAAATTAATTAATTCTAATTTGTGTTAGTTGGGTTAGTAACAATCTTTAACTTAAAATGTATATTAGAATGTGTTAGTCACTAAAAGTCGTAGAGAAAACTATAAATTGATTAGCAACAACATGTGGGGATCGAATCCGCGACCCGTTGATCTATACGTTACTACCATTAAAACAACGTACACTGTAAACAATAGGGTTCCAAAATAACATTTTCTTACTCAAAATAATACAGGCTCTAGTCTACAGCTGTAGAACAGATAGTCGCTTCGATCAGGAAACTATTCTAAAGTAATTGTGGACTTCGTTATTAATTCCGCAGGTGTTCACTCCTCGCTCAGAATAATTACTGGTTTAAAGAGAATTTTTATATTCACGCTTAATTATGACAGGAAAGTAGAAAGTAGAAGATTGCATAATCTGAATACATAATTTTTGTGAATAAAATAAATTCTAACAGCTTGAATCGCGGATTTTTTTTAAAATATTGAATTTTAAATACGATGTTTCAGATTCTTCAGTCTCACTTGGGTGTTGAAAATAATACGAAACGTCGGTCGCACTTATATTAAACATTAACTAAGATATTAACAATACATAAATATCACGCATTTCAATCACTTCCTTTAGGTATAAAATATAGTTAATATTTAAAAAAATGGATAAGGTTTTTATAAGATTTTTTAACTGTTCGGCAGTAGTAATTAAAAATGGTTTTCGACGTTTCACCATCACCAGTAAATGATGTTATCAGCACATTCTTTACTAAGCAAGCACGGACACATCGAAAAACCTCAATAACTCAAAAACTGAAGCCGCTCTGTGATCGGTATTTATTTAATAAAGAGGGAAATAATTCAGAAAGAAGAAGGGAAGAATTCAGCTTTTAAATTTAGTTACTTAGATACATAACTAGGTGGTATAATAGGACACGTATTTGTACCTACGTATGAATAAAATATGGTTAACGGTTTAAAAGCATCCAAAAGGTGGAGCCGTAGTTAAAATAATTTGTATATGTTACATTACTTCATGAGAAAAGGTTTGTTAATGTCATAAATATCTGTGATAAATTTCATTTGTTTTATAATAATTGCTCAGTAATTTTATAATCAAAATAGACAGCCTTATCTAATTTACACAAGAAACCAATTAAGCGTCTATACAACAAGTACATATATCAAAGATCGATCAAGCATAAACTCTACAACAATATCGAATGGAACAAAGGTTTTAATGACTAGAAATGTACGTCGCGGCTACATCTTTCCGCTTCTATCAGCAAAACGACAATAAAATTTTAACGAGTTCCGTAATGCGATACTCGTTAAGCCAAGAATTGAAACAAAGAACCGTGCAACACAAAGTTAACTAGAGGCCGCGACTGTCCGTTATATCTTATCTACTCAATTCAAGATGAGATCAAAGACCCAGAAATGAGGGAAAAGTGAGTTTATCTTTAGATTGCCCTCCACTTTATGTGACAGCTCTGTGAGCGCTATAGCTTATATTTTTTGAAAATAGACTTGAAGGATGAAGCGAGTGTTTAAAGTTCATCAGGCTGCTAGAGCCAGAGTGGCCTAATACAAACACATAATTTTCAATATGGAGGAAAATAAAAATGCGCAATTAAATTAGGCAAAAATGATTTTGTACTATAATTTGTGTATGAACTGTGTTAACAATTTTCGGTAACTGTGCACTTGTAATTCACATCTTTGGACTATAAAAATATGAACAAGTCATAAAATTGCAGTTAGGCTACTCTGGCTCTAGCAGCCTTATATGTTTGTTGTATATAAATGTTACTATGTTAGGTTACATCTATCCAAACACATGCTTTAATTACATTCTCCGTCAACTTACTTCATACTCGTAGATGCCGATTTGTCATGCTATTGTAATCTTGATAAGCCTTAATTTTAGTAAAATTGTATATTTACCGGTCGTGGCTTCGAACCCCTTTGGGACCAACACATTTCTTATCAATTTCGAATTTTTTTTTTCTGAACGTTTGAAAATCTGGATACTAAATATGTGGTAGAAATAACGAAATTCCTTCCGGGTCACAAAACGCCGTGCAAATGAAAAAGCTGTGAAGTTTAATCGCGTTTTGGTTTCAGACTGCGAATTTTAGGATATTCAAATCTCGCTTATATGTCAGTTGCCTAGTGTATTTCACCATTTAAATTAAATAAACCTTTGTCTCCTCTGTCATAAAAAACTTTGCATTTTTTAAATATTGTAGTTTTCAAAAATACATAAATTTTATTCAAGATTTAAATAATATCTAGAAAAGAAGTGTCTAAATGGGCACTAGGTCATCGCGATTAACACATGACCTTTATAACTCGTTTGAAGTGAGTTTTGCCAAAGAAATATCGATTCTGGCTTCCATTTGGTACTTAAGGAACTATTCTGTTTGATTTGCATATTGTCTTATGTAATTTTTTTCTAAATTTTGGAGCTTGAATATTTGTATGACATTCTGGATGTAAGTATGTCGCAGTTTAGTATTTTATTTACATTACATACAACATTTATAACATATATTGGGTTGAATATATGTGGACTAAACGACCTCTCAAATAACTTACAAGACGACTATTTTATGCCATTATTATTTAACTCGACTTTGTAAGGCTTTTCACCGATCGTACAAGATAGGGCCTTTTAAAAGTATTTTTAGTGTAAATCAATGTAAACTTTGTAAGAAAATCATTAATATACCTATGTTTTTTTATGTCATTGTGTGTTTGTTACCCAAAAATGCTTAGTAAGAAATAATACATTATACTAACATTATACAAATCTTAAGACCCTTCTTGCTACACATATTTAATGTTCTTTCCTTTTTTTAAATTGTTTATTGATCGAAGTTACAATTGTGTAGGAAACAACAGTTTGTGAGTGTAATCGGATATTTCGGCTTCGTATCTAGCCTATCCTTTGCAGAAATAAATTACTGCGCATAATGAAACGACTCAAACATTTAGGCTTAAAGTATTAGGAGAGTGACCGTTGCCTAAATAAACTGCGAACAATTAAACGAATTAAGTTGCGAGATTAGACCCCGCTAAATACCCGTGAGACGAAGAACCCTATAGAGTTATAACGAATAGATGCTCGTTATAACTTATAAAGCAATTTTCCACACCCGCGCGTGCCTCCTCGTGGGAACTTACAACATTTCACGTGGAAATAGCGTGAAATTTGCCTGAGCTGCGGGAAAGTTTAAGGTGTTCTGTAGTTGTTATTTCGGACTCTTAACCGCAGGTGGAAAATGTACGCTGTATAATTGGGTGATATAGTCAAATTGTTTGATAAACAACCTGTACAAAAAATGTAAGTACGTATAACGCTTGGGGTTTTGAGCGTTCGGCCGTCCTATTTAAGAAATGGTTTTCGACCCTTCGCCAACACGAAATGCTATCAGCAGATGACGCGCGATCCTCGACTAAGTCTGTGGATTTTTAAATATTCAAAGCCAAAATAAATCGACATCTCGTCTTGTCTTATATGGTGGGATATTTCCCCTTCTATCGAGTCAATGATTTTTTTGTCCACCTGTAACATAAAAAAATAATGTAAAGTAGCTTTGCAAACTATCTGCGAAGGCCTTCGACAATTTGTGAGTATATTGCCTTTTAAA